TGTCCATCACAAACACCATGTTCCAGCACAAGGGTGTCCACCAGTGCATGTGGCACCAGGACACCCTAGGCCGGAGGTCGATGGTCGACTTTGTTTTCGTATCATCTGACCTTCGACCGCGTGTCTCGGACACTCTGGTGAAGAGAGGGGCGGAGCTGTCAACCGATCACCACCTGGTCGTGAGTTGGATCCGCTGGCAGAGGAGGAAGCCGGTCAGACCTGGCAGACCCAAGCGTGTAGTGAGGGTCTGCTGGGAACGTCTCGCTGAGCCCCCTGTCAGACGGACTTTTAACTCACACAACTCACTGGGAGAGCTTCTCCCAGGTCCCGGCGGAGGAGGGGGACATTGAGTCTGAGTGGACTATGTTCTCCGCATCTATCACCGATGCTGCAGCTCGCAGCTGTGTTCTCAAGGTCTCTGGTGCTGGTCCCGGCAGCAGACCCCGAACCCGGTGGTGGACACCGGCAGTAAGGGATGCGTCAGGATGAAGAAGGAGTCCTATCAAGCCATGATGGTCCGTGGGACTCCTGAGGCAGCTGTCCAGTACCGGCTGGCCAAGTGTGCTGCGGCCCGGGCTGTTGCAGAGGCAAAAACCCGAGACTGGGAGGAGTTCGGAAAGTAAAGAGGTGCCTCGTCACGTCCTCTGGACCGGAGGGGGGTTTTCTTATGAGTTTTTCCTTGCCAATGCAGGAGGGTCTGTTGGGCAGTTAGTGTCCAACTAGAAGGACTGTGGTGATGATCCAGGACGTGACGACTTTAACATTCTAGAACAAGTATGGACATTTTTCAACATGTGTTCTATTTTTATTAAGTCCTCTGAGATTACTTCTGTTGTGATTTAGGGCTATACAAGAATAAATTGTATTGAATTGGGGGCAGAGGCTGAGGATGTCGGGGCGGATTCTTCCATCTCCCTGGCTGAGGTCACCAAGGTGGTTGGCAGCCTCCTTAGTGTCAAGGCTCCGGGAGTGGATGAGATCCGTCCTGACAATCTAAAGTCTCTGGATGTTGTAGGAGTGTCTTGGCTGACACGTCTCTGCAATATCGCAAGGCAATCGGGGTGGCAGACCGGGGTGGTGGTCCCTCTCTACAAGAAGGGGGACCGGAGGGTGTGTTCCAATTATCGTGGGATCACACTCCTCAGCCTCCCTGGTAAGGTCTACTCCAAGGTACTGGAGAGGAGACTACGACCGATGGTTGAATCTCGGATTCAGGAGGAGCAGTGTGGTTTTTGTCCCGGCCGTGGAACACTGGACCAGCTCTATACTCTCAATCGGATACTCGAGGGTTTATGGGAGTTCACCCCAACCTGTCCACATGTGCTTTGTGGACTTGGAGAAGGCGTTCGACCGTGTTCCCCGGGGTGTCCTTTGGGGGATTCTCCGGGAGTACAGGGTCCTCTGCTGAGGGCCATCCATAAATGATACTTATGTGTACCTCTTACACTAATATTAATTTCTGCTAAATTTCCTTAATGCAGTTTAGAATTTAAAAAAAAGGTGTTTTCAGGGCTTATTTGTCATAGCCTGGCTATGCCAGACCCTTGTAGTTCCGCCATGCTCCACCAGAGGCGTTTGGCTGAACCACATGGGTCTGGTATCGACGCCATAGCGAACGCATTCCCCAGATTATTTTTTAATCGACCAATCAGGATGGCCGGTGTTACGTGGGGTTTGCACTGCCTTCTCAAGCTTCTCTCATGCAGCAGCGAGAGGAATCCAAGATGGCGGACGTAAAGTCCGCAAATCTTTTTAAAAGAGTAAATACGATCGAATTAAGACACGGATGTCACTTTTAATGCAATTAGAAGCGAGATGTTGATGGTTCTATGTTGATATGTGTGTCAGAGAGTCAGAGTCAAATGTTCCTGTAAAGTTTGGTTGAAGCACTGGTTCAGTGTTCCTGTTTACACACTATGCAGCAGGGTTGCCAGGTTCGGTGGTTCCCGCATATTTTTTTCCAAGAGACTTGTAGGTATTAAATAAACAGAAAGACAATAAACAGAATCATGATAGTCCAAGTTGATTACATTAAGTTTTTAGCCAAAAAATCATTCTGAGTGTTTTTTTTTTGTGGGTATTCTCGCGGATTTTGGGTTGGAAAATCTTGTTGGGATTTGGCAACCTATGGGAGCCTTGTGCTTCGATGTGAGTGGTTGAAAGCAGACTTTATTCAAGATAACGGACAAGTGGTCTATCCAATCACATACAAGGATTTTTTTTACAAGGCCCTGCCTTCTGAAATCCAACCACTATGGCTCAGTACTAGACTCATGTGTGAAGTGCTGCGAACTACATCGTTCTGGCCAGAGTCAGGCTATATTTGTCATCCACCTTACTATGTAATAAATGAATACTGTTATTTGTTATAAATGAATTCTTTTGTTACTACTACTATGATGAAATGAAATGCTTTTGACCATTAAAATATCATTGGGTGTTAAATGTGAATCATTTCTAACCTATGTTGCACTAAATCTCATTTCCGAAACATTGAATTTCATTTCCGAAACACCATTCTCATTACCGTAACGTGTTCATTTGCAAATGATTTAATAATTATTTTGTTTTTTGTTTTTTTAGCAATTGTGTTGACACAATTTGTAGTACTACTTTTTATATCCCAATCACAAAAAATATATATTTATGTCAGTTTTCAAAGGAATATCCTAAAAAAACTAGATGTAAATCATTAAGTGTGTTGCGGTAATGAGACAAATTATAAATATTTTCAAATTTATAAATATAACGAAGTAATCTTTCTTGACTGATACATTCCTCTTGGCATAAGTGTTAATTAGCTACTTTTAAAATTTCCCAATTTTTTTTATTTTAACAATAAATCTGATGTGATTTCATGTTGCGGTAATGAGATTTTTTTGGCACTCAATATCTAAAATACCTGTAATTCAACTAAAAAAATCAAAAACGATGTTGAAAAATAATGTGTTTAGTAAGTTCAGACATTCATCTAAAGTGCTTAAAAGAAAATTAGTCTTCAAATGCCTTTTGAAAATTTTGAAGTTGGAAATGTTTTAAATCTGGATTTCGTGAGAATCACCCAGTTGTTCAGATGTGGGCCTTTTTCTTCAAAAAGCTCGTGCCTATTCCAGAACAGGTTAAAGTTTTCAATGAAGCCAAGTCCTCTGCGTGAACACTCATTGAGTAGGAATGTATTTAGCTGATACAGACGGCTAAACTTCTCCATTTTTCCATCTATATTTGGAAGTGGGCCACTAAGGAAAATTGTTATGTCCATTTTCTTGAGGTCATCCAGTAACAGCGTTAAATCCATTTGTAACTTCTCGCTTGCCTTCTCATAGATATCTACCGCCCCCGTGTGGATCAATAATGTACGCACACCACTGTTCTCAGATAACACTTTAGGCAGAAGAGTTCTTATCTCAGCAACTTTTGCAGAGTGAACTGAGACAGTGAGCATGGACTCCATGTTTACATTTTTCACCGAACCATCTCCGATAAGGACACAGTTTGTCCTTGGTGGAGGCGCTGCAGTTGTTAGCGGCGTTGTTGTTTCAGAAAGGGGTAAAAAGCGGTTTGAAGTCTTCAGAACATTTAGTTGTGGCCTTATTTCACTCCTATTGTCATTCTTAGCTTTGTCAACTTTGGGTTTAGCTCCACAATTGTTCCAATAATTCTCATTGTTGATTTTGGGAAAAGAAATGACGTCATAACTTACATTTCCAGTCTGTCCATTCATCCCATTTTCACTCATTGGAAGAGTCGGGTTAAGTTCCATTTCTGTTTCCACAATAGATATCCGTGTTTGAAGAGATTTGAGCTGATTTTCCAAAGCACAACAGCCGCCGCAGACGCTTCTCCGTCTCTTTCGTCCCGACATGACTAAAGTTGATAAATTCCACAAAGCTGAAGTGTGTAGAAGGAGTAATCCTCGTTTTGTAAATAAAATGATTAAAGGAGAAACAAAAACATGTAAATAAAATGATTCAAGGAGATTAAAAGGCGAAGCAAAAGCAGAGCCGAGAGACACACGACTGCTCTCTTCAAAAGCAGGAAGCAGGAAGCAGAATTTTTCCACTACATGTTTTGGTAATATCAAGGTTAAAGCTACTGGCACAGCGGTAAATGCTAATATGCTAATAATGCTAATAAGTCTCCATTCCTCCGCTGTACGTCACTTTACGCTGCCTCTACCATCGACAATAAAACATGTCTTCTGTCTGAATTAAAGAACTGAATCCTAGACTGTCTTTTTATTCACTTTAGATTCTAACCCACAGCTAGTGTTACAGTCAAGCTTTAGCACTGCTAAACAAATGAAGGTTTGGATAAACACGGATACTGCAACTTTTCTGTCTGTCTGTGGGTTTAAGAACTCAGAATTGAGGTCCTGAAGGACACATCCTGCATCGTACAGAGCCGTGTAAGTAAGGATTGGTGAATGAACTTATCATTCTCAACAAAACAATGCGTCTGTGGCTGTCTTCTTTTCAGGTCAAACATTCACAGTGTTTATTAAAAACTCCAACTCATACCTGACAATGAATTAAATAAAGATGGGGATGTAATAACTGAGCATTGTGACTCCATGGCTGGGTAAATAAATAATCCTTAGAGGTAAAAGCGTCTGCTAGTGAAATGTTAGCGAGCCACTTTTCCTGCGTCTTTTCGTAAAGTCCTTAGTGCGAGGCTCTTTATTCATCTCTTCACAAGGAATCCTAAAGAATCCATTAAAGGTTTCACGATTCGATCGGTTAGAAAACTTAAAACAACACATGCAAAAGGTATATTCAGACACGCTGCTCTAGTGAACAACTAGCTCGGCTGACCACCACTTCGTGATACGCATGTGTAAATCCTTATGTTAACTGTTGCAAACATGACAAAATGTCCTCACTTCTGGGATACCAACACATTCTAGTTTCCCATTTTTCTTCACAAGTTTTGTCATCACAATCCATGACATGTTCAAGTTTATATAAGTGGCTTTTGTCTCATCATGCACATGTTGTGTGCAGTCCCAGAGAAGCTGGACATGCTGCCCCTCCCTCTGGCAAACGAGCGGCGTGCATGTGTTTTGATTGGTCGAGACAATATGGCACTGCCCGCCAGCTTGGTGAGTCAGATTGGGTATCGATGCCACCCAGCCCTGTATGCAGAGGGAGACCCGGGGGAGAAGTTGGAGCTGGTGGCGGGTTCTGGGGTGCTCATGACCCGAGGACAGCTAATGAACTGTCATCTGTGTGCTGGCGTCAAACACAAGGTGCTGCTGCGCCGCCTGCTGGCCACCTTCTTTGACAGGTGAGGAGCACACAGCCACACACAGGAAGAGAGTCTTCAAAGCACCACTGACTCACTGACATTACATTTGATAATGCCACATTCCTTAAGCCTGGTTCACACGGCAGGATATTTAGGCCGATTTAGACCCGATTTACCCCTTACGACAATCTTAAGAAACGCTCCGATTTCCGTAACAAAATCTTACAGATTATCCTGCCGTGTGTGGTGTGTTAAGACTGCACTCGTCGCTCGGAAGGACATCGGGACTGCTCCCGATCTCAAATCGGGGATATCCAACATGTTGGATTGTTTTGGCCCGATTTCTTGTCGTGTGTGGTGTCCTCCGAGGACAAGCGAGCGCGTTGCCATGACTACGGCGTGTAGCCAATAAGAAGACGAGGTGACAAGCCGGTGAGGATACACCGGAAAAAAAACAAAACACAGCAGCATGGCTTTGACCATTGCCTTTTCTTTGGATTACGTGTCTTCTCTGTTAACAACAAACTGCACACTATCGCCAATGCATCCTCTTCGTCCGCCATGACTGTTTACTCTGAAGTCACGCTTGATCTCGAGAGATTTTGTGAGATTTCCGTCTGACCTGGGAATGCTCGGGGGGGGGCGGGTGTCGGTTCGTGTGTGATGTTTGTGGCTTGCGTGATCTTGCCGTGTGGCTACGCACCACACACTGCACGACCAAAGTGGTTAGACGCAGGATTTTTAATCTCCCCGTGTGGGGTCTAACACGGAGAAAAATCGGCCGACAATTTTAAAATCGTCTCGTGTGAACCAGGCTTAAAGTATTACTGACACATCCTACAAAATAAGCATGGTCCCAGGGGCAAGTACTGTGGCTGAGAGCAAGTACTGTGGCTACTGTATATACAACCAATACATTATTATTATTACTCAAGGTATTAGTATGTAGAATTCTTCACACCCTGATGAGACCTGATCATAAAATACATTTATGTGCACAGAAACACGCTGGCTAACAGCTGTGGGACTGGGATCCGCTCATCCACCAATGACCCCACCAGGAAACCACTGGACAACAGGGTCCTCAACACCGTCAAATGTAAGAGACTGGGACTCGACGAAGACTATGCACTGAACAGGACCCTACTGTGTGTCAACTTCTTGTTTCAACTGTACGCTGCTGACCACTAGGGGTGGGAACCTAAGGGTACCTCACGATACGATACACGATACAAAGCTCACAATAACGATATTACGATAACGATTTTATCACGATATGACGATTATTGATATATTGGTCAGAAATATACAATATGCCAATTTATGGCATAAATAAAAGAACAAATACTCTTGATTTCATGGTTAATAAAATGGAGATGCGTAATGTAGCCATATATTAAGTATTGATGCCAATTTAAAAAAAATATTATATATATATATATATATATATATATATATATATATATATTATATTTTTTTTTTTTCAAAATTGATATTGATACTTGGCAAATGCATATCGATATTCGAATCGCGGGAGAAAGTATCAATATATCGATTTTTCGATATATCGTCACACCCCTACTGACCACATAGATGTGTGAATCTGGCTGCATGTGGCCCAGGTCTGGTCTACACTAGGGCCTTGTCAATGTAATTCAGTTGTTTCAGCTTCCTGTTACATGCAACATGATGAGGACTTCTCCTTTCCGTTCTTTTAAGAGCTGAAAAAAAGCCATACGTTGCAGAGTATGAATCCAGTGTGTGTCATCCATGTGGTGCATGATTATATAGCGACATGTTACAAAAGAAAAGCTCTGTCTTTCCCGGCCCATAATGAAAGATGACCACTATCTTTCAGTGTACTGCCAGAACTTCGCTCCCAATTTCAAGGAGAGTGAGATGAATGTGATCGCGGCCGACATGTGCACCAACGCCCGGCGGGTTCGTAAACGCTGGCTGCCCAAGATCCAGTCCCTGCTGCCTACCGCTGCCCCCCCCAATCGCCTCAAGATGCGGAGGGGAGGGGCTAATACGACTAACACTCCGACCGCCACTCCCTTCGACGTGGAGCCGCGACCGTACCTGCCCCTGCCTGAGCCATTGAAGGAAAAGGAAGCGGGGCTTGTGGGGCTGGCACGAGGGGGCGTGGCTGAAGCGGGGACAGGTGTAATGACAGCAGGGGGCGGAGCAACGGGGGGTGACGGCGGACATTCTTCTGAGCAGCACGAGTCGTCTTCGGATGCATCTTGCACGTCGTCGCATCCATCCCCCCAGCCCCCGGACCAGGACTAAACCAGGTCTGAACCAGGACTCGAACAAGTCTGAAAACGAGGATCTAAAGGTGTTGTGAAAGTGTTGGTTTTTCTGGTGGAAGGTTCCATGAAACTGGTCATACTTGGATTGTTCCACAGTTTGGGATGCAGTAATAATGGTATTTTGTAACTGCTCTTTACTCTGTCCTAGAAAATATTCTGTAGATCTGATGGGTATGAAGTATCCCCCAGGATGGATTAAGGCCCTCAAACTCAAAACTACACCTTTCTGAATCAAGTCTAAACCTGGCATAGTCCTGGGCTATACAGCTATTGACTTTTCTACTACAGTTCCATTGACATGAAAGGAAATTTGAGACCTCACTAGTTCAGATCTATTACTATTTAGAGCCTCGTACTCCAAAAGTGGATTTTATGACTAATGCCGTACACATTAAATAATCTAAGTTGAATTGATGATTGCCCAGTGAAACTTATCAGCTCTTACAGCAGTAGTGTTAGCAGAAGGGACAGCACAACATATTTTTTTAATCATGGCTTGTTCCTTCTGTAAATTTGCTTCTCTATGATCCATTTAAATTCAATATACAATATCTGCTACTAACACCAGACTCAATAATCAGCAAGCAAACCTTAGCCAAGCAGCTCAATGACCTGTCCAAAGCGTGTGACATGTGCAGTTTGATCCTTTTGACAAAGAAAGGTGGACGACCTATTCCGAAGAGGAAACCACACCCAATAAACACACAACCAACACACATTCAAGACAGTAAAATCATTCATTTAAAGACCTCATCATTTTTTGTGTGCTCAAAACTATTGTATAAATGAGACAAGCTTCGTCCAAACCAGGAAGTCACATTACAAACTCCACTAAATTAGCCAAATCTAATGTGTACTTTAACCTGGAATATGCACTTTAAATGTCCTATAATTAACATTTCAATAATGTGTTTTATATACAACTTTTTTAGACAACCACTAAACTACTACTGTAGCCATGGACTGACAAAAGTGAAGCTGTCACTCACACACACCAGATATATGCACGACTTTGCATAGCAAGTGTTTTGCCCAAGGACACAACAGTATTTTCAGACTAGTTGGGATCGATCACTTGAATGCCTAAACACTACAAGTGAAACTGATATCTTGTTCAAAAGATAGACTCAATACACGCAAAGTGAGCAATACATATCAAGCCTTTTTTGTTATTATATAGTTATAACTGATAATTAGGGCAATGGGAACTGCCACACAACACCTTCAGCACCAGTCCCTCGCTGTACCTCCTGCAGGTGGGTGATCTACAGGTTGGTCTTGTTGTGTTAGCGAGGGCTTCAGGCAAAGTGGGGTTAAATGTCTTTCCCAGGGACACAACAGCAGCAGACATCAGTGGGAGTACACATGTCTTGTGGGGGATTGAACCCACAATCATTTGCACCCTAAACCAATGCTCTACCAACTGAACTACTGTGCTCTCAGCTTGTAAAACCCCCAAATAAGACAGAAGAATATTTTGAAAATGTTCTACAAACAAAGGCATATGTCAGTCACTATGCATGTATTGAGTCTATATGAATTGGTTTCACATTTCAGGTTGAATTACAGAAATCTATAAACTTTTGAACAATATTCTAGTTTCACCTGTAAATGAGGAACAAAAGAAGTAGTCCGCTGATGAAACATAGCATAAGATAAGAAAAGATAAGACAGACTTTATTGATCTCACACTGGAGAAATGTACAATGATTGGGACTGCTAAAATCATAAGTCAGCTAGCTCCAAAGGCTGAGTCCTGACACATGTGAAAGTCAAGCCAGAGTGGACCATCATGGTGTTTATACTGGAATGTGTATGATAAAGCATTAGGGGAAGTGAACCAAGACCTGTTAAGGAGTTCTGCTTAATAGATCAAACAATATACTGTATAAAATGGCGTAGTGTAAATAAAGCCCAGGACGTGTGCGATGGAATCAGGTTTTAAAAAGGCCGCCATAGAGAGTGCAGCGTGTACAGCGACGTGAGGCCGTGTGACTGTAACGCGCATTACACACTTTTAACCAGAAGATTGTAAAAGCAACACAATGCGCTGTACTTATAAATGCTACCTGTAAACATAACACGAGCTACCTGCCTGTCTGTCATAGGAATGAGATTCTGTCCATTTTCACTTTCTTTTTGGGTTGAATTAACGTAATATACAAACTGTCTATCTTTTTTTTTTTTTTTTTTTTACTGTTCATGCCACACATGTTTTGAAATCATTTTCTGATCAGATGATGAAGACGAGACTTATTTCAGCAAGACTCTCTTTGTTGGAACAAACAAAGCCCCAGCAACTATGTGGACAGCATTCTGAATTATTGTCCTTTTCAATCTACGTACTTTAGGAGTATGTACACATTTAACTTACACATTCACTATTGGTTCCAAATGAGCACAAAAGTAAATTAATTAAACAGTCAATGCTCATAATTTCTCCAATAACTTCAAATTGATCGTCAGAAGTTGCTAGAAACTTTAAACAAGATTTGTAGCAGTAGAAAACACGTTCCACTTGTCGTCACTGCAGAAAATGTGAACTTACCTCAAGCACTCTTACTATAGATCAAATATTATCAACAATCAAAATACACTTCTGAAGAAAGTTAGGAGTATATTTTGAAAACCTCGTCCTCTTTCTTGAAGGTGTATGTTGGCATGGGCCGATTATAAATACAATGCAAATCCAGAATACGGGTCCATTTGTGGCGATGTCTTTGCAGTAGTTCTTCCACAGTCGTGAATGTAAAGTGTACAGTTATGACATCATCGCACATCTGCAAACATTGGCCTGAAACACAAGCTACAATTACAACCAACTTAAAGACGACATATTGTGCAACATGGATCTGTCAAACCCCTCTTGTTATTATTGTTAGCTCATAAACATAGATGAGGGTGGGAATGTAGATTGATTGGTAAATCGAGAGCTCTGTCAGCAGACTCTGCTCCCTCTTCACACTTGGCTGCAAACCCGGTGCATGTTGGAGGTACTGGTTTGTTAAAGCCAGGCCCTTTGGGTGGTTTCTGAATCACAATATGTCTTCTTGTCATGCAGTTACATCTGTACTTTGCCTTTGTTTACTGATATAAAAAATCATTTTGGACAAACCGTATGTGGAGAAGGCCCCTACCTCACTTCCTTTTCCTACCTCTAAGCCCCTCCCCTGTTTATGCATAAGCTCCTCCCCTTCTACCTCAACTCCCGCCCCCTGTCTGTGTTTTGGCTTAGCTGCATGTGAACAGCTACGACCTCAGCAAATAAACTTTTATCAGTCTGCGTCTGGTCTCTATTCATTATGAACTGAAAACTTTCAGAGATTCACTGATGACTTTGTTGCAAAAGAGAAGGCCTACTGTCTGGTGGTCCCTAAGGTTTCAAAAAGCACTGTCGGTTGCAGAGCACTTGGCTACCAAGCTCTTTTACTGTGGAATCAGCTCCCCACCCACGTCAAGGAAGCAGACACGGTCTCTACATTTTAGGCCAGGCTTAAAACACTCTTCTTCAATTTAGCATTTGGTTAGGTTGTTTGCCCGGTCTCGTCCGATCTTGGAGTCTGCGTATATGTGACCCGGTCCACTGTATCCCCAACCCTACGTTCTAGGCTAGGCTAAAACAGTCCTCTTTAGTTAGCATATGGCTAGGAAGGTAAGACTCAGGGAAGGCTAAACTCCTCAGACTGTCAGTCAAGCTGCATATGGAGTCATTTTTCTGGGAGAAGTATGGTAACTTGAGCACTATCCTCTCCTCCTTCCTACTTTATCTGTTTAGCATTATTAGGATTTTGACTGTAGTTTGTTCATTGCTATTCACCCATTGTCCCATTGTCTGTTTCATGGCGGCACGGTGGCTGAGTGGATAGCACTCTCGCCTCTCAGCAAGAAGGTCCTGGGTTCGAATCCCGGTCGGACCAGGGCCTTTCTGAGTGGAGTTTGCATGTTCTCCCCGTGTCTGCGTAGGTTTCCTCCGGGTACTCCGGTTTCCCCTACCACTAAAAATATGTCCAATAGTTCTGGCATGCGCCTCCTGTACTGGCGACCCCGCTCCCATCTCTGTGTGGAGTGAGAGACAAATGCCCATAATTAACAATTGTAAACCGCTTTGAGACTCAGATCTGCAGTGAAAAGGCGGTATATAAATAAAAACTTACTTACTTACTTACTTACTTACTCATGGTACGATGACAGGACCTCTGAACCTGGCCTCGTCCATCTACACCTGCGGACTGCCCTGCCCGACCCGCCTGGGAGTGCTTCAGTCCTGCACCGGACCTGTCCACGTTCAGCGGCCACTGGTCCACGTTCTGTAGCTTGGGTCCTGGATCTATAGCCCGTCCGCTCGTGTGGAGCGGATCCCTTTGTCAATTGTGGGTCTCCCCGAGGTTTTTCACTTTTTTCCCACTGGGTTTTTGTGAGTTTTTCCTTGCCGATGCAGGAAGGGTCTGTTGGACAGTTAGTGTCCAACAATAAGGACTGTGGTGATGATCCAGGACACTTTAAAATTCTACAACATGTATGGACATTTTCTTTTTAACATGTGTTCTATATTCTTTTTGTGTTTTAACTGTTGATTCTCTGATCTGTGTTGGTGATTTCAATGGTTTTGTTAAGTCCTCTGAGATGACTTCTGTTGTCATTTAGGGCTATACAGGAATACATTGTATTGTATTGTATTGTACTGTCGCAAATAAAAGTGAACATATATTTTGTAGAAGTTAGTAGTTTCAAATAAGTTCAGGGGATGTTTGTTGATAGAATTATCCAGTCAATGCTTTAGAAACAGTGGTCGTCCTAATCCCTCACAGCAAGAAGATCCCATGAATGTGAATGTTTCTCCCAATTATGGATGATGCTAATCCTATCATTTGATGAAACACAAAAGGCAAAAGTATCTTCCACTAGCTCAGTAACTGTTTGTGTCACACTCCCCATTTTTGGCATAAGAAAATCATGGTTTACTGCTTATGATCTTGCGGTTATTTTGATAATGTCTTTGTAAATCCAGATATGAGCCCATCTTGGGAGGAGGGTATGACTTGAGCTTGCCTTAGCAACCATGTTGGCAACACGCTAGTTTGCATCTGCCCCGTCACAGCGCTAAGCTAACAAATACCCATATAAGGACATTGATTTCATCTGCCTTACGTTTGAACTGGCTTCTTCCGCTGACTCTGTGCACCCCTAATGTACAGTCATTGGTTTCTCCCCTTGTCTGGATGGGGACTCCGGTCAAATAAAGTGGACAATAAAGTTTACCTTTTAATTAGACCCGCCCCCACAGCTTTCTGATTGAAAGAGAACTCCTCCTCCTTTACTGGTGGTGATAATGCCAAGGGGAGGAACTGCTTGTGATTATAGCATCTATGAAAAATACTTTGCAGATATCTTTAACCTTAACAACTTTCTGTGGGCAGTACATTTATGGTTTTTTACTTTCGATCAGACAAAATTCCATTGCTAAATATAATCAATTTGGCTTTAAAAAACACACATCTGCTCGATGTTGATGAAATTTTCATTTTTGAATGTTTATTTAACTTCTAAATCAGTCCACTATACAAGTAAATTACTAGGCACTGGGATAACATGTTTAATCTAAATAATCAAAATAGGTTTATAAGTCTATAATGTCGATGTGATATTTCTTCAATATTGTCGATACAGTGATATTAGAGCAAATAGCACAATAAACGACTCAAATAAACAACAGTAGAATGAATGGGAAGTTTGGATGCCTCGACTTCTTACTTTAATATATTATATACATCAGTGGGGGTCATGTCTGTTTCGGGTCCCAGCCTGAAAAGCTGGTGAACCCCTGCTCTAAAAATCCACTTTAAGTTCCAAGAAAAAGGCGGGGATTGAGGTGGTAGGTGAAACTGACGCTTTCTGAATGGAAGAATCAACGGCAAGGACACTCAACGTAAGATCATGTCAACAGATAATAACTTTAAAACTTCTAAAAATATATAATGTTTGTCCCCATTAAAAACACTATTGCTTCTGATTGTCCGTCTTCACCGGGAGGTTATTATAAGGAGAGTCGTTTTCACCCGTCTCCACCTCGTTGGTCTGCTCTGGATCCATCTCCAGGTCTAGACTCTGGTCCCTCTCTGGTCCGTCCCTGGTCTCGGCTTCAGTCTGTGGGTCGGTGTACGCTCTTTGAACATGCTTGGGCACCGCATAGTCATCCACACGGGCGTTATAGGGGAACTCATGTCCTTTAGGGTCCTGCTCTGTTCCCATGATCCTCCAGGCCTCCACTCGCATTTCCTGCGGCTCGTCATACACAGAAGCAGACGCGGTTTTGATGTCAAAGTCTAGTTCTGAAACACAACGATATCACATGTAAATTGTACATAGTGTTAAGCAGTATGAATGCTTTTAATGTTTCACCAATGGTTCTTTGTAGTTTTGGTTGACGACTCAGTGTTCAAGATCGTTAGTCTGTTTGTTTTTTCAAGATGATGATTGATCTGGCCTTCCTGGCTCTTTGTAGCAAATTGCCATTAAGTGACCTGCCCATCTGGGGTTAAAGGTAGTGGTCCAAAAGAGCAGGCCTGCAGAAGTTTCTCCATGGAAATGCCTGTTTTCCATGGAGAAACTCTGACCTGTGGCGCACTTGGTTTATAATTGTCTCTCATGCGAAAGATACCTGGTTCAATTCCAGGCCTGGTCTTTATTTTTTTGTTGTCAGATTAAATACAAATTGAATATGTATGAATATATATTTCATACATATGGTTATGTGTTGTTCCAATAGTGATCTTGCATTAGGATTAATATTGCATCATCGTTAGGGTAAAACTAAATGATGTGTAAAACACTCAAGACAAAATTTTACTTAAAACCACCTGGTGAGTGGTATAGTTGGTGTGTGTCCGCCAATCATGCAAGAGTTCGCAGATTCAAATCCAGCCAAGATCAAAAACTTTTTTATGACTGTTATTTCTTTATACATATATATATATCTATAAATATCTATATATATCTTTATATATATATATACAGTTTTTATATAACTGCCATAAAAAAAAAAAAACGGTACTTTGATTCGATCTGCCAATCTTACGCACTATAGACGAATGTTTAATGACTGCGCCACTTATTTTGTGTTTTAGCAAAGAAAAAAACGAAACATTCTATTGTTGTTTTAGGACATTTCATCAAGAATGGAGCCAACCAAAGATGGTGAAGAGTGATGGATTGAAAAACACAAGCAGAAAGTTGTGTAATTGGAACATGAGGTTTCATCTCTATATTGTTAAAATCTTCATTTCTGTTCTTGGACCGTTTAAGCTGTGTCTTATACTTTGCATTCTTTAATAAAAAAATATATGTATTAATGCTCTTTATTATTGTTCCATGTTTCTGATGTGGTTTTATTAAAGAAGAGAGAGAAATAAAATGATTTTTTCTTTTGTTTTATTTATATATATATATATAATGTCATACATATTAAATTTGTATTTAATCTGACAAAGAAAAAATTATGACCTGTCCTGGATTTGAACCAGATATCTTCCGCATGAGGGGCAGTTATAAACCAAGTGCGCCACTGGATAACACAGATCATGTGGAATTTAAACTATATAAAATACATGAAATCAAGTCTTTCAACAAATTCATGCAATAACATATATTATTATTCAAACAATTTATGGCACTTCTGACATTCTTCATGAAGTTTTAGGCCCAAGGACCCAACATCAGCAAATGTCATTAGTAGTCACTGGGGATTTGAACTAGCAACCATCAACACCGTAGACCTGTGCTTTTCCATCTGAGCCACTGGACCACTAGCTCCAGTAATGCTGCTTGTTGTCTTTTGTACAGGCTGCTTTCAACTGTATTTGTTGCCCACATGCCGTTTTAAACGCCAGTTGTTGTCCACATGCCGTTTTAAACGGGATTCATTGCCCACATGCCGCTTTACACGCCATTTATTCCCCACATGCCGTTTTAAACGCCACTTGTTGTCCACATGCCGCTTTACACGCCATTTATTCCCCACATGCCGTTTTAAACGCCACTTGTTGTCCACATGCCGTTTTAAACGGCATTCATTGCCCACATGCCGCTTTACACGCCATTTATTCCCCACATGCCGTTTTAAACGCCACTTGTTGTCCACATGCCGCTTTACACGCCATTTATTCCCCACATGCCGTTTTAAACGCCACTTGTTGTCCACATGCCGCTTTACACGCCACTTGTTGTCCACATGCCGTTTTAAACGCCACTTGTTGTCCACATGCCGCTTTACACGCCACTTGTTGTCCACATGCCGTTTTAAACGCCACTTGTTGTCCACATGCCGCTTTACATGCCATTTATTCCCCACGTGCCGTTTTAAACGCCACTTGTTGTCCACATGACGTTTTAAACACCATTTGTTCCCCACATGCCGTTTTAAACGCCACTTGTTGTCCACATGCCGCTTTACACGCCACTTGTTGTCCACATGCCGCTTTAAACGCCACTTGTTGTCCACATGCTGCTTTACATGCCATTTATTCCCCACATGCCGTTTTAAACGCCACTTGTTGTCCACATGACGTTTTAAACACCATTTGTTGTCCACATGCCGCTTTACACGCCATTTATTCCCCACATGCCATTGTAAACGCCATTTATTGCCCACATGCCGCTTTACACGCCATTTATTGCCCACATGCCGTTTTAAACGCCACTTGTTGTCCACATGCCGTTTTAAACGCCATTTGTTGTGTACATGCCACTAATCAGCTGTGGCAGGTGCCGGTGCCACAAAAGGAGCCTGCCCTTACTGCCGGTCCCTGTATGACCGGAGCCAGAGCTGTGTTCGCATTGCCGGCAGTAAGTCAGACCTGTTCCCGGTGCATGTTGGCCTCCGCCAGGGCTGCCCTTTGTCACCGGTTCTGTTCACTGTGTTCATGGACAGAATTTCTAGGCGCAGCCAAGGGTCAGAGGGGGTCCAGTTCGGGGACCACAGGATTTCATCTCTGCTGTTTGCGGATGATGTTGTCCTGTTGGCCCCAACAAACCAGGAGCTGCAACATGCACTGGAGCGGTTTGCAGCCGAGTGTGAAGCGGCTGGGATGAGAATCAGCACCTCCAAATCTGTGTCCATGGTGCTCGACCGGAAAAAGGTGCCTTGCCCTCTTTAGGTGGGTGGAGAGGTCCTTCCTCAAGTGGAGGAGTTCAAGTATCTCGGGGTCTTGTTCACGAGTGAGGGAAGGATGGAGCGTGAGATTGACAGGCGGATCGGTGCAGCGTGCACAGTGATGCGGTCGCTGTATCGGACCGTTGTGGTGAAGAGGGAGCTGAGCCGAAAGGCAAAGCTCTCAATTTACCGGTCAATCTTCGTTCTTCACGTCGAGAGGAACCAGTTGAGGTGGCTCGGGCATCTGTTCCGAATGACTCCTGGACGCCTCCCTGGGGAGGTGTTCCAGGCACGTTCCACCGGGAGGAGGCCCCAGGGAACACCCAGGACACGCTGGAGGGACTATGTCTCTCAGCTGGCCTAGGAGCGCCTTGGGGTCCCCCCGGACGAGCTGGAGGAAGTGTGTGTGGATAGGGAAGTCTGGGCGTCTCTGCTTAGACTGCTGCCCCCGTGACCCGGCAACGGATGAAGCGGAAGAAGATGGAATGGAATGGAAAAAACAAAACAAGAGGACACACCAGAGATTTGATTTGCTCCAGGCCTCTGTGATTGATCATCACAAAGTCCAAGTCTTTCGTGATGATCAAAGGCCTCTGCATTTCTGACAAATCTAACGAAAGGAAGTAAGTAGTCTTTATTTATATACCGCCTTTCACAGACCCCACGTAAAATACAACAAGTGGGTTTTGCAAAAGTGCCAACACAACTTTGGCACTAACCATAACCCACAAAGATGTTTTTTTCTGAATCACAAAAAAGGAGCAAATAAATTTTTTTTTTTACCTTTTTCTTTGATTGTAGAAATTTGCCTAATCAATAACTTCTTGTGTGTGCATCCAAAGGGACAAATCTGTGTCAAAGGACCAGTGTGTGTCGGGTCAAACTGACTGTTTCATATATCAGACTGTGGTCAGTAAACAAAGCGAAAAGCGAAGGCTTGAGGCTCAAGCCTTGAGCAACACATGACAAATGGTTTGTTTGCTGCTGTCTATAAAGTGTAGTGGATTCCTCATTCGGGGCAGACAGGGTTTATTTTACTGTTGGTATCGTTTACTCTTTCCATAAATTCCACAACACTTGGAAAAAAGATTCCCATACCTTCGCTGTGACAGGACTCTGGCTCGTCGTAGATGTGTTCTCCTCTGTCTCTATGGAACACGTTCCTGATCTTAAACTCGTCTATGCTGTCGTACACAGGGTCGGCCAGAGGAGGGCGCTCGGACTCCACTCCCAGCTCCCTGAGGTCCGGGATCAGCAGATCAAAGGGCTGCGAGTATTCCGACTCCACAGCACCCACATCCACCTGAGGAGCAGAGTAACTTTGAGGACCAAAGCACCGCTCACATCACCTGAGGACAGAGTGACTGTGCTGTGGTAGTGGAGCTTTTGATCATTTTCTGCTTTATTAAATTCGGTGGAATAAAACAATCTATTGCAGGGTAGGCGACAGTGGCTCAGTTAGTAGAGCAGTCTCCACCAACTCCCACTGATGTCTTCTATTGTTGTGTCCTTGGGCAAGACACCTAACACCCCATTTTGCCTGAAGCCCACGCTGAAAGGTTTAGGTATTCTCTGCTGAGGCAATTCATCACACCTCGCAGGTGGGAAATGTAAAATGTCTATGTCAAATTTCCTCTATGAAACTGGCAACCAACTTATTCTCTGTTGAGGCAATTCATCACCCCTCGCAGGTGGGATATGTAAAATGTCTATGTCAAATTTCCTCTATGAAACTGGCAACCAACTTATTCTGCTTTCTGATTGGTCTGATTGAAAACCTTCAACATAAATATTGTATATTAGATTGAAACATATTACATACGATCCCTTTAAAGTGCCCATGTGCCTATGACAGCTTGGACTTTGATGAAACAGAACATTTGGAATTACTCCATTAAACTACATTTACAGTTTAGGAGAAGTCAATCATTGCCAAGAACGTTACATTTAGATAGTGAGCCAAAAATCTCAGAGTGACTTGACCTCATCCAAAACCAAGTGTGTTGTCCTTAAGTATATAGTCCGCTGGCGAAGTATGTGTTGTCTGTAAGAGCACAGCTGGTGTAAGTTGTGTGTCAGAGTATATGAAGGTGAGACGCATGTCGTTGCTGATGCTTTCTACTTTTGTTGTATGTCTAGGTTGTGTGGCTCGCTTTGGCCCCGAATAAAATCAGACCTGTTTAGATATACATAGTCATTATGAATGAATATAAATCATCAATGCTTTAGAAATATATGTTCAACTCATAGAACAGCAGCTAAAAACATGTAATTTTAGTTTCTGCTACTGACACTAATGCAGTGATGTGACCCAAGCTCACCGATCCATTGGGGCTCTTCTTCTTCTTTCGCTCTGCTCCGATCCGAGAGTATGTCTGAGTGGGGGGCTTGGGACCTGGCTCAGAGGGGCTATGGTCTCTGGCAGAGTGGGGGTTGTCTCCGGGGAGGGGGCAACTACTGATCATCTTCACTTGGTTCTTCTTGTGCAGAGGTGGATCTCTGTTCTCCAGAGTCAGGCTCTTGACGGCAGTGAGTGTTTTGTCCACCGGGGGCTCCAGGAACTAACACATGAACACAATCTTATAGTCATCCTCACTCATCTTCTATTTGTTATTTACTGTATGTGTCTTACCATGGGGTGGCGCTGTGACGGGGAGCTCTCTTTGTCTAAATGTGTGATCTGCAGAGTTTTATCATTCACCAAACTGTAGACAGGATCAAGGTCCTGTGGAGGAAAAGAAAACAGCTGTAAGTTTAGTGTAGTAAGTATTGTTATATAGAGCGCCTTTAACAGACCAGAGTCAAAAAGCACTTCACAAGTGGTTCAATAGCTGCTTCTGGTGATGGATATGTCATTGCTTTACATTAAATGTTGAAACCAAGTATAAAGTGGACCTGCAACCCAGGTAACTACTTTTTTGGTTTAATCCGTCCTCAATCTTGTAAAAGTAAAGCGCTGTGATCAACATGCTATCTTCACTTTAATAGAACACCTTTTACCTTGCTCCTGTGGACTCAGCACCTGCAGGAGGATCAGTGAGGGGCTGGTGCTCTGTGGACTGGGTGCAGCTCTGACTGCCACCCCCCTGACCCAGAAATGAATTAAGGGGAAGAAAATGGATGAATGGACCTTTTACCTTTGCATATTTATAAAAGTCTGGGTCTTCTCTTTTTTTACTTTTCTGTCTGAAATAGCTGATCTAAATGTGTGGCAGTAATCAAAAATCATGCCTGAGAAAATGTGATATACAGTATAAAACCAAACTGTTGAGGGACGAGTTCTAGAGTTTATTCCATAGTTCTGTTATTTTGTAGTTTGAAAATGAAGGGGTGAGCGAGTGTGTGAATTTCCCCAACATTAGGGCGGCGAATGCTAGAATCATAATAACAAGTGCTTTATTGCTAAATTTGACTGATGTCAAACCCATTCACCACACCAGCAACCCCAACAAGTAACAATCTGCACTCACCTCAGGGCGGGGCGGCAGACTGCGGGTGATAGGTGGGTGGCTGTCCAATCGAGTAGAGGAGCGTGTTTGGGGGTGGGACATATGTGGTAGACTGTCCGATGCCATAGAGGTCTGGCGATGGGGGAGGGACACACGCTGGCGATTGATGGCGGTTTCCACGGCGACAAACAGTGCATTTCCTAGTTTGGTGTCAAACTCAAAGTTTCCCGGCCCGGACTCACAGCGCCGCCCCGCCTCGAATGTGAATGAGCTCTGAGGAGATAATCAACATGGAAACTTCAGTCTACTAGATAAATATGCAAATATTGGGCAATATTGACATGACCAGCTGATGTCTGCTGGTAAGACTATTTAGACTTTATTGTCCCAAGGGGAAATCCTCTTCACATACTCTGAGCCCATTTTACATTTCGTATACATAGGCCACAGGCAGTACATTAGGGTGCACTTTTCAGGGCTTGTTGTTGAGGGAGGTGATGGCTGATGGTACTAGGCCTGCACCACACTGGGACCTTCTGCCCCTGAGTGTCTTGTTTCCCTGTTCCCAGAGGTGTCCTTGTGTGTTCTGTTCAGTTTTAAACAGTGCAATCCAAAAATACATTGGTTGAAAAAACCACCAATCTAATTGGTTTGGATTGATCAATATTGGTCAGAATCAGTAGGCGCTGCATGTGAAAAGCCTGATCCAGTCCTCAGGAGCCAAGTAAGACATAGCCTGATTAGTACCGTGATGGGAGACCTCTGAGAACGCCAGGCTGCAAAGAGCCAAACTGTTGTTGTGTCCTCAGGCAAGACACCTCATCCACATTGTCTAGTGAGGGAATGGTGTGTGTGAATGCTTGGTGGGGGTCAGTCAACTCTATTGATCATTCTGACCAATAGTTGGTACTGTGACCATTGTGAATTGGATGAAAACGCAACCATTTATAGATTATTTATTATCAGTCGGACACATAATTACCAATTGCCAAACGCTTACAAATATGTGCCTGTTAAAATCCACACTTGGAATCTTAATCTAAATCTTAAATGTGATCGCCAGTATGGGGTGCCGATTGTAAAAATTCTGTTAAAATTTTTTAGCTGAACATTTTTCTACATTTAGCTCACTTTCCTCACATTTAGCACATTTTCCTCACATTTAAGACATATCTATATCTAAATATTATATCTATATCTAAATGTTAAATGTTATATCTAAATATTATATCTATATCTAAATGTTATATCTATATCTAAATGTTAAATCTAAATGTTAAATCTAAATGTTAAATCTACATGTTAAATCTAAATGTTAAATCTAAATGTTATATCTATATATAAATGTTATATCTATATCTAAATGTTATATCTATATCTAAATATTATATCTATATCTAAATGTTAAATGTTATATCTAAATATTATATCTATATCTAAATGTTAAATCTAAATGTTAAATCTAAATGTTAAATCTAAATGTTAAATCTAAATGTTAAATCTAAATGTTAAATCTAAATGTTAAATCTAAATGTTAAATCTAAATGTTATATCTATATCTAAATGTTATATCTATATCTAAATGTTATATCTATATCTAAATATTATATCTATATCTAAATGTTAAATGTTATATCTAAATATTATATCTATATCTAAATGTTATATCTATATCTAAATGTTAAATCTAAATGTTAAATCTAAATGTTAAATCTAAATGTTAAATCTAAATGTGTCGCCAAGTGTAAAGCTAAATATATAGAAACCACGCCCACTGCAGTGGCTTCAAATCCAGTGGGCCCGCCTTCCGTGCCGTGTGGTGAGAACCCTACAGGATTACACAGGAATCTCACGGGACTCCACGTGGCTTAGTTTACAGTGAATACACTCTGGCTCCAGCAAATAAGCAAGAATCTTCACAAAAATGCTAATTTTGTGCCGTGGCCAAGGACGATGGCGGCGGAGACCCAACATGCCTTGAGCCGTGACGTCGGTCCACGTGTATTCCTATGTTCAAAACACGCGGCACCGCCCCCACTCACCACACGGCACGGAAGGCGGGCCCACTGGATTTGAAGCCACTGCAGTGGGCGTGGTTTCTATATATTTAGCTTTACACTTGGCGACACATTTAGATTTAACATTTAGATTTAACATTTAGATTTAACATTTAGATTTAACATTTAGATATAGATATAACATTTAGATATAGATATAACATTTAGATTTAACATTTAGATTTAACATTTAGATTTAACATTTAGATTTAACATTTAGATTTAACATTTAGATTTAACATTTAGATATAGATATAACATTTAGATATAGATATAACATTTAGATATAGATATAATATTTAGATATAACATGTAACATTTAGATATAGATATAATATTTAGATATAGATATGTCTTAAATGTGAGGAAAATGTGCTAAATGTGAGGAAAGTGAGCTAAATGTAGAAAAATGTTCAAATTTTAACAGAATTTTTACAATCGGCACCCCATACGCCAGTGGCTGTGTCTCACCTTATCTCTGCCGAAGCGCCGCAGGAACCTGTAGGGCCAGGAGTACAGCACCTGTCCGCTCTTGTCCTTCAGCAGCAGGGCCTCTGTTTCAGCCCTCAGAAGAGCCTCTCCCTTCAGTCTGCAGCGGTCAGACGCCTCGCTTCTACGCACCACCACCCGAAAGTCTTGCCCCTCCTCTGTACCTGAGGCAAGAGACAGGAGCTGATCATGGGCTGGCACTAACACATTCTGTTTAAGCACAATGCAGTAATTAGCTATAAGGAAAATATTTTGAGGATATGTTTTACCATTCAAAATATGTCTCACTTTAAATCATAACGGCAAAGACCTATTTTTTCAATAATAATGAAACCTATAGCAGACTTTCTGTCTAAATGATCATGACAGGCCTAACTGATTTACTTTAGGAATTTTGAGGCAACACGTCTCAATGTTTTTCTACCCTATTCAATCTATATAGGGTAGAGTCATAATGTTGGTAACCCAGAGTCTCATCGTGAGCCACTTCCTGTTGCATGAGGAAGTTCTTTATGTCAAGATAAGAGCAGCAGACATAACCGCATTTTCCACCAAACATTAGACAAAAGTACAGACCACACCCTGGGTTGGTATTGCATATTGCCATTATAATCTATCTGTGTCGTATAGTTTGTTCTTTCTTCATAAATGACACTAGTGATTTGGCCGCGTCTGTTATTTTACACAATGTTGTCTGTAAAAAAAAACATTCTTCTAATTTTTTTATTCCTTTACCCATTTCAATGAGCAAAGACATGTCATCTAAATTGACACCTGGGGTTTGCAGGAGTGATCTAAAGTGAGCAGGGGATAAATATGAGTGAACTTCCTGTCATGCAGACCACACTTCGTACTTCTTGTGACATTTCTAAAAATAACCGTGTGAATCTGACCACATCTGAACTTCTTTTGTTCCTCTGTGTTCAAGCAAAACTCCTAGTTTAGTCCTGGTCTGGCCCTGGTTGAAAAAAAAAAAAAAAACATGTTATAAATAGACGTACAAATAACAGATTATTTTCATGATCAAAGAAAAAGAAAAAAACACTGTCTGCATCCAAATCTCTGAAGCCTGGCGCCTCATTCACTACAGTACGTTTATTTAAATGGGAAGAGAAAACAGTCATGGAGCTCAAGCAAAGGTCCAGAGAGTTTTCTGTTTTTCTAGTGGGCATGATTCCACCTGCTTTCCCTCTAGTTCACCTACTACTACACAGTACACACCTGTGCCTCTGCCACTTATTCCGCTGCTGGCGTCATTCAAACAGTGCCTCAATTTTCTTCACTCAGCTTTCAGCTTGTGCCACAACCCGCCTCTGCCCATCACCCCCAAGTGAGGATCCTTACTTCAACTTCTACCACAGACCTCAACCAGTTTGTTAGCCTTGGCAATGTTGTTTACTTACTTTTTTATTTTAATGGTTATTTTTATTTAAAACTTGCAAAGAATAAGTTTGTTAGCACAAGCAAAAATAACACTAGAAGTCAATCTACATCTACACCTGCGGACTGCCCTGCCCGACCCGCCTGGAGTTTTTCAGTCTTGTCCAAGTTCAACGGCCGCTGGTCCACGTTCTGTAGCTTAGGTCCTGGATCTATAGCCTGTCTGTCCGTGGGAGCGGATCCCTTTCTCAAACTATGGGTCTCCCCGAGGTTCCTCACTTTTCCCACTGGGTTTTTCTTATGAGTTTTTCCTTGCAGATGCAGGAGAGTCTGTTGCACAGTTAGTGTCCAACGAGAAGGACTGTGGTGATGATCCAGGAAACATTCTATATGTATGACATATTTCAACATGTGTTCTATATTCTTTATGTGTCTTAAAGTGATAGTCTGTAACTCTAAATGAATTACAAATTTTAGGAAATGTGTTAAATTGACCTCCTGGCCTTAAATGTTGATATACAGTAAAATAAGTAATTTTATTAATTATAATATTACGGGCAAGTCCGCCTTCCCTTCTCTTAGCTATAGCTCAGTCGAGGTTAACCAATCGAGTCATGCCAAGGGCTGTCAATCATCGGCGCTGATGCTCGCAGCTGCCCACATGCTCAGTTGTTTGTTTTCGCGGAGCCTCCGAATCAAGCCTCCATTAGGCTCTGAAACAACATGAAAACTGAACAAAGAATTCTGAACATCCGCGCTGAGTTACCCATTTATATACTGAACCTATATCCATAATCATTTATATACTGAACCTATATCCATAATCAAATCCTCTGCAGATGTGTCCTACATTGTTCAATTAATGAACATTATATGAAAAACATTATTTTTTTCATTAAAAACGTAAACAAATAATTCTGAAAACCTCTGTGCATGTGTATTAATAATGTATATGTATAAGATGTGTTCTCTGATTAACATTTAAATGTGTTACGGAAACGTAGGTGTAGACCAATCAGAAAGTAAGGGGGAGGGAGGTTGCGTCGTTTTTTTCAAATCAAGTACCTCTCTGTCTTTTTCTGACAAACTGCTGACAATCACTTTAACTGTTGATTCTCTGATTTGTGATGGTGTTTTCAATGGTTTTGTTAAGTCCTCTGAGATGACTTCTGTTGTGATTTAGGGCTATACAATAAATGGTATTGTATCGTAAAAAATACGTGTCTGAAATGAAGTGCAGGAAGAAGTAAAACTCAAATTTGTCTGGGCCTTAAGGAAGACGTTGATTATTCTGTCATAATGTCTATGTGGTGCACCATCTCCTATTGCACATTATCCATGGGTATTTTCACTGTACTCTTTGAACAATACCATTAATTAATTATGGGTACCTGCTTGTTAACAGTAGTAAGATCTTTTTGATAATGTTTACAATTCTCATAAAGTCAGAAATGTGTATAGTCAGTGTATGTAATGTCCTCCTGATGTTTGCACAATTGTGTACATTTCCCGTGTGGTTGGTTCGTTGTGACATGTTTTGTCACATGACTGACTCAGTTTAAGCTCACTGCCTGAGTTCTTGTCGTGTGTGTGTTTTTTTTTCAATTTTCCAAAGTTAGTGTTATATTAGATCCATGGTGTTAACGCGTATGTTTTCTGCTGAGAATCCAATCAGAGTGCAGAACTTGGGTTACCACGTTCAAATCCAGAATGTTTGATCCATAGACCTTTGAAGAAGTGGACTAGGATGAGTCACCTCATCTTGAAGTGCTCTTTAGAACTTTTCTCTGTTCCCACTGGCATTGTTTTCTAGCAGGCCAGTTGTTAGGGGGTCTGGATTTAATAAGATATGACCAAAATAAAAAACACAATCCTTTGCACAATTTCTGAACAATACATTTATTGCCCAATGTCCCTGTCTAATGAACAAATAATTAAATAAATAAACTAGAGTTATGTAGAATAGTTTGAATGGGAGGGAAAATAGGAGAAAAAACTATGGAACGAGCAGACTTTTCTGTGCAATGCTAGCATTAGCATTGTCCTTTACTACATATCAGTGCTATGTTTGGTCCCTACCTTAACCTCTGCAGCTGAAGCACATTATAAATACGAGGCAGAGCTTGAGCAACAGAAACATGTGTTTCTGTTGCTTTAATTGCTTTCAATGCTTTAATTACAGGTGAATTATAACTGCATTACTTGAACTTGAATTTCACTGAATTGCTCAACTTTTAGCTTGAGACAAATAAACGGGTGAGCTATGGTAAGAGCCTTTAAGAGTAGCCTTTTCTATTGATGTAATACAGGTCAATATTGTATGTTTTTAATAAGTTGAAGATGGGAAAAGCAATGATGACTCTTTATTAAAACTAGATTTAAACATATTGACTAATTAATTTCTACCTCACAGTTTACAAAGTTGCAGCAACCTAATTTATGCACTTTGACAAGGTATAAGGTAAATGTAACAAATTCATTATGTCTGCTTTTGTTTAAGGCTTTGAAGGTTCTTCTAATGAGACAAAAGTGTAAAAAAGCTAGTACTGCTTATTTAACATGTCTGGGAATTAAGTAGAACTAGCTATACTTTTGTCTTATTTGAAGACCTTCAACGTATCAAGAAAGCTTACGTTTTGTTATGATTATACTGTAATTGTATCTTTTACAAACAAGTTATCCTCAACAACTTGTATAATATAGGAGAGGATATAGCGGTGTTGTTAAAATGCAATTTTCCACGGTGACAGAACACCCGTTCTCGCAGGTCGAATTTAAAATCATTTTGCGATTGAATTTGAATTTAAAATGCGTTCTATGGGGCGTTCTGACCGGATCATGCGATGCAGCGACTTTCAACGCAAAGTCAATGGTGGGAATCAAAGCCCTTCCGCCACTTTCGCCGGGCCCCATCGCAGGCCAGGACTTCTGGTCTGAAATTTAGATCATGTGCGTCCAGTGCGCGTGGAATCTGCGTTCCAGCGTCGGGGGTCTGAACGCCCCATAAAGCTGTGTTCATGCGTTGCGGCCAATTTCAATGCAAATGAATGGTGACGTCCATGCATGCAAGGGATTGCATGGCACAGCAGACGCCTTGTTGCGGCGCAGTCGAGGCAGTGGATACAGCGGCTAGGTGCATGCAGCGAAAGCTGGAGATGAACAGCCAAGTGGTCACGGGGACAATTGCTGGTCCGAAGCAGGAAAAGGAAGTCACTCGAAAACAACCAAAACAGGAGCAAACCAGGATTAAACCAGAATCGAGGATGGGGGACACAGCGCTTGTGAACATATGTCTTCAGCTTGAATTGACAATCTACTGTAAACAAGTGCTGCTAACGTGTTCGCTGTTACGGAAGTGCCCACCACTTCCGCACTGCTTTTTTCCCCAACTCGGGGCAGGATGCCAGATTGACTTAACTCATGCAGCTGATATTTAGTGAACGTGCGTCCATGTCTCCATCCATGGCCGTCTATGCATTGGCGGTCTGAACACAGCTTTAGTGTTTTGTGGCTTGACTGAATGTTACCTGTTTCTAAGAGGCTGTACAGGGAGTTATCCTGGGTCGCGGCCTTGTGGTCCTGGCTCAGGTTTGGTTCAGACCTGGTGTTCCTCTGAGAGCTGCCCCTCTGCAGTGCAGAACCACTCCAGTTCATCTGAGAACAGTTAAACAACATGGTAGAGGTAGAAAATATAAAAAAACATATGGATAATATCGTAATCATCCATCCATCCATCCATCCATCCATCCATCCATTTTCTTCCAATTCATCCGTTGCCGGGTCGCAGGGGCAGCAGTCTAAGCAGAGACACCCAGACTTCCCTATCCACACACACTTCCTCCAGCTCGTCCGGGGGGACCCTAAGGCGTTCCCAGGCCAGCTGAGAGACATAGTCCCTCCAGCGTGTCCTAGGTCTTCCCCGGGGCCTCCTCCTGGTGGGACGTGCCCGGAGCACCTTCCCAGGGAGGTGCCCAGGGGGCATCCTGAACAGATGCCCGAGCCACCTCCACTGGTTCCTCTCGACGTGGAGAAGCAGCGGCTCTACTCCGAGCTCCTCCCGTGTGACCGAGCTCCTTACCCTATCTCTAAGGGAGCGCCCAGCCACTCTGCGGAGGAAGCTCATTTCGACCGCTTGTATCCGCGATCTCGTTCTTTCATTACCCAAAGCTCATGACCATAGGTGAGGGAGGGAACGAAGATTGACCGGTAAATTGAGAGCTTTGCCTTTCGGCTCAGCTCCCTCTTTACCACAACGGACCGATACAGCGACCGCATCACTCCGCACGCTGCAATGATCCTTCTGTCAATCTCACGCTCCATCCTTCCCTCACTCGTGAACAAGTCCCCGAGAAACTTGAACTCCTCCACTTGGGGAAGGAGTTACCCTGGAGAGGGCAAGGCACCTTGTTCCGGTCGAGCACCATGGCCTCGTATTTGGAGGTGCTGATTCTCATCACAATCATTGTTTTTGATATTATTAAAATATACAAATTCTTGAATATTTTAATATTCACTCTTCCTCTCCTACTGCTCCTGCTTTGGGTGGACCTAAAGAAGCTACAAGGGGAGGAAGTCTACTGGGCCTGATGGGATAACGTCAAGGCTCCTGAAGGGATTTGCAGCAGCATTAGATAAGCCTCTCATACCATCTTCAACAAGAGTCTTGATGGATGTGTCCCTGCCCGCTGGAAATCCTCCTGCATGGTACCCATCTCCAAGGTAGCAAGGCCAATAGGATGCAAGGACTGTAGACCAGTGCCAGTGACCACTAACATCTGTCATGATGAAGACTTTTGACAAGCTAGTACTCTGACTGCTCATGCCACAGGTCAAGCAGGCTCTGGACCCCCTGCAGTTTGCCTATCATGAGAACATGGGAGTATACGACATGGTCTTTTACATGCTCCATCGGTATGTGTCCTTCCTGGATGGCCCTTGAGGATATGTGAGGCTGATGTTCTTCGACTTCTCCAGTGCATTTAACACCATCCAACCTCTCTTAAGGCCTCATTTATGAAACTTGCGTACGGCCAAATCAGGGTGTAAATTAGGCGTACGCAAAAAATTTACACTTTTCGGCATTTATCAATCTGAACGAAAGCGTACGGTACACACAAAATATAAGTCAATAGGTGGTGTAAATGTGTACGCTCATTTCAACCTTCATTACAACACGCCAAAACACGCATGAAATGCAAGATTTGGAGAACAATAAACATATTCCCACTATACAAAATTATAAGCTGCGTTTTCATTGAGCATCATTTTTCAGAAACACTCTAAACATGCACATTTCGAATACATCACAGTTCATGATGAGGACCATCTTCTGTTTCTTCGTTTTAAAATCCAACTTGTATGTGTATTATTTTCATCTTTTTTTGTATGTGAAGAGCTTTGAGATCTTGCTCTGTGAAGGCTCTATATACAAATACACCTGGCTTACTTAGTTGACCATCTATTTCCCCGTAAATCTGTGGCGTAATCACGCATGGCTATTTGTTTTGTCTCAATCACCTCTGGCAAAGCAACGTATTTTTTCAGTTTTGTGCATAAAGCCCCATAAACGCAGCGATGGCAGAGATACAGTATGGCAAAGCGCTGTGTGAACGGGCTCACGGGTGCTACAGAGGTCCCACCGCACTCGCCATATGTGATGCGTCTTTTGGAGTTTCTCTGTGAAATCAAGGACACCTCCCAAAAACTTAGGCATACTTTCTCTCTCACAGAGATCGCTCCAATGCATTCACAATAAGTTGTTGCTGACGCTTGACCCTGCAGTTAATGATGAGAGTCACCGCTGAGATATAGATATTCATTCATTCATTCATTTCTAAAGAGATGAGCGCTGCAATGGGTCTAGACACTAGGGAAAAAACGCATATATATAATATAGCGTTTTGTTTGTGGTCTATTTTTTTTTTTTTTTTTTTTTTTACAAAATAGTAAAATAAAACTCAATATAAACTCAGTGCGTGTTGCTGGCCGGCTTCCTGGTGACCTGTCGTAAAAAAGGGGCGTGAAACAGGCGCTTTCTGAATATTTATAGGAGTGACTTTCATTAATACGCTGGTTTTCAGCATATATATAATATAGCGTTTTGTTTGTGGTCTATTTTTTTTTTTTTTTTTTTTTTTTACAAAATAGTAAAATAAAACTCAATATAAACTCAGTGCGTGTTGCTGGCCGGCTTCCTGGTGACCTGTCGTAAAAAAGGGGCGTGAAACAGGCGCTTTCTGAATATTTCTAGGCGTGACTTTCATTAATACGCTGGTTTTCAGCCGCAGCATTTATCAACAACCACAGGTGCGTACGCTCAAATCTGTGCGTATCTCACACGTTCATAAATCCTGCGTTGAGTCTGGCGTAAATGGAATATACACCAAAAATATACACCCTTTTCTGCGCAAGTTTCATAATTGAGGGCCTTACTGAGGGAGAAACTGGAGAAGATTGGAGTTAGTCCCATCTGTACCAACTGGACAGGTTAGGGAAGAGCATGTCTGGGACTGTTGTGAGCAATACGGGAGCACCACAGGGTACCATTCTGGCTCCCTTCCTCTTCACAATTTACTCTGCAGACTTTGCACACAACTCTGCCACATGCCATGTACAGAAATACTCGGACGATACCGCTGTTGTGGCATGTGTGAAGGGCTGGATGAAGCAGAGTGCAGAGAGGTGGTGGCTGCCTTCTCAGACCGGAGTGAGAGACCAAGGAGATGATCATTGACTTTCACAATCAACTGGCCACACTAAATGGACAGGACATCAAAGTGGTACAGTCCTACAAATACCAAGGACTGCACCTGGACCACAGACTGGACTGGTCAGCTCAGGCCAATGCTGTCTATAAGAAAGGTCAGAACAGACTCTTCCACCTGTGAAGACTGAGGTCCTTTGATGTGAGCAGTCAGATGGTGCACATATTTTACCAGTCTGTTGTAGCTAGTGCCGGGTTCTTTGGGGTTGCGAGACCTTGAGAGACAGTAACCAGCTCGGCAGGCTGATCAGGAAATGTGTCTGTGCTGGGGAGAAGGATGAGGGCTCTAATGCAGGGCATCCTGGGTAACTCCAGACACCATCTGCATGACACTATGGCTGCTCAGAGGAGTAATCGTAGCAACAGGCTCCTATCACTGTGCTGCCGAATGGCTCATCAAGCATCAATCTTGCTTGATGAGCCTTTATGAGATTTAAAACAATTTCAAATGTTCAAGTGCAACTATGGACTTACAGGGAAGGCGATTTCACAGAGTCCTTGCGTCCACTCCTCCACCTGGAGCTTGTCTGCGGCGAACACAAAGATCTTGTCTGTGGTCTCAATGAGAAAAGCACTGGTGTCTTTGGGAGAGCCATCCACGTCCACCAGTGACACGCGAATACAGGAGGACAGGCGGATCACCTAGCAACAGCAGAGGAGTCACTCACTGTGTACATGGAACTTAAGGGTGTGTGGCAGATTCCTTTTCCCCTTGGACGGTAAATGTAGGGCCACTTTAAATCAAGTTTGTGACAAAAAGTTGACAAAGATTAACAACTTAATGAAGTTCTAACGTGGAATCCCTTCTCTCAGACAAGAGGTCTCGTCTTATATTTCTACTTCTATAACCCACTGTAAATCCAGTGGGGGTGGTTCCCGGCTCAAAAGTGGCCAAAATGACGTGCACTGACATACTTGCAATACCACCCCGGGCCGATGGGGGTGGACCCGGAATAAGAATTAGCCAATGCTGACGTATAGCATCTTCTTACCTCTCGAAAACGTCTTTACAGGATGGTCCAAAAGTTGGCTCTTGGCCCAAAGCTCCGTTCCACATGTGTGTCAATGCTGAGGGGAGTGAATTTCTTTGGACTACTCTAGCTGCTGTGAATTTTTAAGGCACTCGTTAAATGAATGGGGCTTGCGCCGGTTGACGCTTGCGCATATGCGTTTTTGTTTTTTCACAATTTTCTTGTGGGCGGGACCACTCACAGCCATTTTGGATAGCTCCAGTAAAGCACAATTTGTTTGAACGGTGGAGATAGGCGTGACTACGTCCATTAATATTTACAGTCTATGTGTAAATCAGATGAGCTCTTTTTTGTGGTTGCTGTACTTAACAATTGTAAACCGCTTTGTGACTGTGGTCTGTGAAAGGCGGTATATAAATAAAGATTACTTACTTACTTACTTACTTTTACCTATGACAAATCTGCTACTTTTGTCTAACCAGGAAGTATCATTCTAAACATTTTTAACCATTAACCACCAGGTAATTTTTTTTTTTATATATATATATCTCTTAACAATACATTTTGGTTTCTACTATATTGGTTAATTTTGGTTTTTCATCTCGCCACTCCTTTTTGATCTGATAATTTGTAAATAAGATATAAATATAATTGTAAATATAATGACACACTATTACAAACGAACCCTTTCTCATGTATGTGTATATAATTATGTATGTATGGGCTGTTGCTGATTATTGCTATTGTTAGCTTTTTAGAATGGTCAATTTAGTTTTTTTATTTTTGCTGCTACTGGACACCTAAATTTCTCCTACAGGGATCAATAAAGTATCTATCTATCTATTTATCTATTACGTTGAATTTACAGTAACAAGTAAGGCATAATGTATTACATTAAGTAACTTGCCCAACACAAATACCTAATACTTATCTTATTTTTCTGATTATTTTTGTTTTTGTGTAATGTCTTTCTTATCTGGACTTCGTGTCTGTAATAAAGTTTAATAATAATAATACCACATGAGTCATTGTTATGTGCTTGTTAGTATGCAATTGCATTTCAGAGATCAAAGGACTAGAGTAGAGCATGTGCAAATGCTAAAAGGGAACATGTTGCTTGACTTTATTTTCTTTGTACTGTACTTGAAGTGCTTTGGCAAAGTCCCAAGAAGCAGTATACGCAGTCAACATTTGAATGTACGTTACAAAGTTGTGCAGATTTTCTGACGGAGCCTCTGATTCCTGCCTACCTTCTTGTCCTGGGGCTTGCGGACGCTTTTGTCGCTGCGTTCGTTCCAGTCGTAGATCTCCAGTCTGGACACGGAGCAGTGACTCTCCCTGAACAGGACGCACCACACTTTTCTCCACCTCTGGCACACAGGAACACAAAAGCATGAAGAATAAACAAGACTCAATCTCAATAGACTCCACATAATTAATGAAAGAAACCAAAGATAGACGCCACAGTTTCATAATTTTCCATATGATGTCCACAACATGTACATTACAGATGACAGTTTAGGCTAGTGTAGGATTAGTGACTACTGAAAGTACTCCATGCATTGTCTACAAGGCATTTTACTTATATTATATATTTTCAATATATAAATCTTCTATTACATTGTAGTAATCAATATTGAGAACAAATGTTCAACTATTATTATAATAAACTGCATGGGTGTCAGAATATTCATTAAATAACAGAAACTTTATCTACTGTTTTCTTGAGTTAGAAGATCATGTTTAATTAATTAAATGTAGCCGTAAAGATGGCGGTATTCCATAAAAAATAGTACTAGTGGTAACGCGATATCAGGAAGAGCAGAAGTATAGTGGAAGCAGCTGCAGTATTAGTAGTAGAATTAGCAGTAGTAGTGGTAAAAGTACCTTTCCAAATCTCTGTTGCAGTAGAAACAGAGGTCCTTTCTTCCTCATGCCGTTATCCTCCATTCTCTATTTTCTTCGGTAGTTTCACAACATTTCTACTTCTGTCTGTTGAGAACTGCTTCAAAATTCCCTCTGCGCCTCAGACTGCTTCTAACCAGTTCAAATTCACTTTGTACTTGACATCTTCTCTTCTTCTCCGTCAATCAATGTCGTATCTGTTGGTTGTTTGGCTTGTATTCTTGCAGTAGCGTGTTGAATCCTTTGTCGCGGCTCGGCCCTGGACTTGTTGGTTGCAGAAGTGCAGTTTGTGGTGCAGAAGCGTTAAAGATGTTTCCTGTTTTTGACGTCACTCAAAGCTAAAAAGATTCTATGTATGCTCAACTTGGAGGGCAGTGACTCTGACTCCTCCTGAGAAACAACATGGAGGAGATGAAAATAGCAGTAACAATAGTTGTGCCTTTCTCATGCCGTGCCTTTCTAACCTGTACAATGCATTGTCTTGCTCCATGCCTTTTTTATGCAAATATGTATTATATTATATTACAGACAATAACGATAATTCTTAACATATACATACTAATCATTGTATATAGTCTGGTTAAGAATTATCAGCAAGCACCAAATAAGTTGATTTATGCATAATATAAAGAGCGTTGTCTTCCTCCTTGCTTTCTGCATTTAAAACAGCAACAAACAACATCTGGAAATCTTGTTCCATTGGCTGAGTAAATAAAAGTACATTATTATTGATTTTCCATCAACTTCCATTTACTGATTGTTATGGGGATTACTCGCTAACATTTACAAGAGATTAAGAACTCGGTTGTATGAAACCAAATGGAACTGCACAATTGAAATGAACGTGGCGAGGAATAGGAACTAATAAGACTGCTGCAGGTCTATATGACAGACTGATCAGATTCAACACGGAGTGTTTTGGTGGGGGGGACTTACAATAATTGCTAGTAATTGAGTTAAGGTAGTTGAGGACAGTCTTAATACTGAGATGAGTAGATCGGTAAAACAATGCTTGAATGTATCTTTTACAAATCTAATATGTAATTCTCAGGGTGAAAATAAATGACCGACAAGGTTATTGAGACTGCATTTATCCCCACAGCTCCATGCAAGGGTCTCTTCTCCAGTTTCTCTCTGAGGGAGCAGAATCATCAGTGAGTCTCTTCAGATGAACACATTATCATAATTAAACAGCCAGGCTCATGTATGTAACGTAGACCAATCAGAAAGCAGAACGCATGACCCACTTTACAGGTACAATGTGTACAAAGGTTTAGATCTTCTTTACATTGCAACAAAAAGGGGGAAATATTATCAAAAACATTGCCCTTATTGTGAGCGGGCATGTATCTCCACAAACCTGTTGTAACAGACAGCCTTTCAAGGTTCTTTGAACCTTTGATGAAACCTTTTGGAGTTGGCACAGCATGATTCCATACAGGAAGCTAAATCAATCAAAGAACTTTATGGAGTGGCTTCAATGCTTTAATGGATCAACACATTTGTGAAGATGCAAGATGTTATTTTGTAAATAATCAAATGAAAATATGATAAAGACCTTTACACTACGGGCCCCTATCACCTCGTAACATATAAACAAAACAAAACAACTTTTATAAATCCTTAATTACGTAGTTTGACGGGTGGACAGCAACTCATTAGTGAAAGCCCAATGTCGGGAAGGGAAACGAGCATAGATGTATAGCATGAACAATTGGAACTCTACAACACGAGTGCTCGATCTCGCTATCCCTGCTGCGTGCGCTTGCCTTCTCGTGACCGCGCCTCAGCATCCTCAACGCGTGCACGGGCATCAGTGAAGGCGCGCATCAGGTCACATCTCAGTTCGCTTTTTGCACGCTCTTGAAAAAAACTACTGACTTAATGTCACGATAAAAATATCAGATTGGCACAAACACCGCTCCGTGCGTGTGCAGATTCTAAATCCACCGCGTGCAAAAAGCCACGCAACAGGACGCTTGCACCTGAGGATCACACACGGATCGAACCAAGACTGGACTGAACCGGGATCATTCTGGAATCCAACAAAAAGCGGCTATTTCACTGTCGAGACGCGCGTAATACGGACGGTTCATGTTGGCATCCCCGGATTATACACTGGGACAGTATTGTGTCGAATCAAACCCAGGTCTGACTAGTCCAGCACCAGGACCAGTTAGACCTGGTTTTGCTTAGGAATAGTCAAGGTTAACGCGGATTCAACAGGAGACACGCACCTGCACCCCCGTGAATCACCGCTATTGTTATCCCGAAGACAAAACCAGTGAGTCCAATATGATTCTCACTATGCATTTTTGATTGGTTTTTTTATTGCATTTTTTGTGTTTGACTCATCTGTCCTTTGCCTATTTCACAAGGGGTTTGACATTGACTCGCACAGACAGACACACGCACACACGCACACGCACACGCACACGCACATACAAACACATACACACACGGACTGAATAGACACTCACATAGCGACGCACGTCTCGAGACGCGGCTTTGAATGCAAACACTCACTAGGGAAGATAAACATAAATCCCCCAAACATAGTATGAAAACGTTACTCACTCAATATGTGCTCAGAAAATGGAGTCCCAGTGGATTCCATTATACGTTAGTGGCATTTCTATCACTACATGATAGAAATGTATATACATATTTCTTTTGATGTGAGGATGAATCAATTTGATGTTTGTAAAACAATTCAATTGAATTCATTGACACTTTTGATTAAAAACTAATACACGCTCATGCACTCTATCTACACATGGAAAATGTGGTTGATTAGTGATCCACTGATAGGATGTTTTCATGACAGATTTGTTATCAATGGTCGATTTACTAAACCAATATTTTTTTCTGATTTCATGATAAAAATTTAATCTATGTTGTTGTATTCAACGTATTGATTAAAAGTAATCGGTCATAGGAAGTCTGTAATGATATGACAGAACCATATATATATATCAGTATACAAGTGTGTGCTTTGCTCTGCTAGCCAATTCAAATAGTTTAGAATTATTATTGCTATTGTATCATTTATGACACTAATCTATCATACACCTTCTGTATGATGAGCGTCATGTAGGGATTTTGGCACAACCAATCTCTCGCTGCTATTGTGTTGTGACAGTGTTCAAGTTGATCAGATTCGGATACAAATCTATGTTTAATACCGTTTTCACACATGAAATATATTGCACACAACAGGAGCCTCTCATCCGTAGGGCATGTTTTGCGGCTGCTCTTTGGCTAACCTTGGTCTTTCAGTGGGGCTTCAGGCAAAGTGGGGTTAAGTGTCTTGCCCAAGAACACAACGACAGCAGACATCAGTGGGAGTCGATGGAGAAGGGCTCGAACCCACATCCTTCAGGCTTAAAGGCCAATGCTCTACCAACTGAGCCACTGTCACCCCATTAAGGACAGTAGAAAGTTTAATAGGGCAATAAACTAAAGTCTATGGAGCGGATAGTATATTGAAGACAATGTTTTCTGTCACACGACCCGCATCCTTGATTCTCCTCAGAGTCTGTTCATCACGGTCTGTGTCCATCTTTTAGTCTGTCTCATGTTCATCAGTCTGTGTCATGTCCTTGCCTTCCTCCTGGCGGCACATGATTCCGTGGAGGCCTCTGTCCTTCTGGACTCCACATTACACATAGGTCTGCCTAAAGTATATATGTTTTCTTCCTGTCCAGAGCCCAGGCTCAGCATCGGCACCTGTCAGTGCTGCGCATTTTGGCCTTATTGTGCTTCTGGTCAGCGGCGGCTACAGGAACAAATGTGATTATATATATCAGCTCAGGACCGCAGTCTGCCCATTTACTCATTATGGTATAAATATGCATTTTTAATCTCCTAATCTTAATAGCACTCTGAACTTGATACATAATTTTATGTCGTGCCTTTGGCTCACGCAGCTGAGGCTGGCCGTTCTCAATCATTTTTACACACAGCCCACTGTCCTTTACACAGAAACTGTGTGATGCTATCATTACAGATCACACATCCTACGCATGTTTTACATGTATTTGATGATCTGTGTTGAACCCATAGCTTCATGAATCATGCTTTGTTCCTAAATATATTCCGACCGTCATCTCTGCATCTGCTTGTTAGTCACAGAATGAGTCTTGTAAATAATGAAAAAATATGGCACACTAAAATTGGGCCATAGAGACAGTATTAACGTGTAACAACGGAATTATTGTCATATATTAGTATTAACTACCCAAACCATCTTAAAATAACACTTTATTTATATAAGTTTAATATGTACGATTCTGAAAATGTTCTTGAGAACATTCTGAGATGCCAAATATTAAAGTATTTTTGCAGAAAAGAGTATTGCATCCCGGAGTGAAGGAGGTGTAATCAGAGCAGAAGCAGACCACGGCTGAATACAGCGTCCAGTGAATGTGCCTGATGCATAAATGATCAGAGAGTTGGTGCTATAGGCCTCAGCTGTTTACACCCTACATGATCGGTGTTTTACATGCGTGTCCCTCCATTATTCATGTTTCTCTTGCTGTTGGTGCATTGTGAAGTGGTTTACCCTGGCTCTGATTGCTTCTCTATGGAATTTTACTCCAGATATGTCCAATACTGTATGTTGGGAAGTGTCTAGAAGCTCAATGACCGCATGTGGAATGGCAAGCAATCAGAATGGTGACTGAACTGTAAACTTCTTGGTCAGCGGATGATTACAAATGCCAATATAAACATAAACATATAAATAGCACATCCCTACAGAAGATGCCACTTGGTCTGCTTTTACTGCAGTGTTTCTCTATTTGTGGTTCATGGTGTGCCAGATACCGACATTTCAAGTGTCAATAATCAGTTATTAATCAATCAGTATGTAGTTAATTGTAGTATAGAAACAATGTTTCCTATTTCAATCTAGTTTAGATTCAGTTTTAGGTTAATTAATTAGATATGTTTGTGCTTGGATGCAAAATATACTGATTTCACACTTTGAACCATATCATCGCCTCTTTGATAAAGCTTCTTAGGTTAAACCTTCCTTTTAACAGCTAATCCAACCTATATGTTACATTGCAGTAACTTTACATGGTGCCTAGTTTTTCCTTTTTTATGACAATATTGATTGAGATTATTTAGATCTGCTGTGAAACAATAGTCCAGTAGTACTCAGGACTAAGAACTCAGGGGTTCTTCTTACACATTTGACAACGTGTTTGTTTATTTTGCAGTGGTTCTCTGGTTCCCCCTGGTGGCCGTGCTGCACTTCTGCACAATGGCGTTGTGCGGCTGTGAACCTCGGATTGTGAACATCGGAGCAGTGCTGAGTCAGAAGCGTTACGAGCAGGTGTTTAAAGAGGCCGTAAGCCAAGCCAACACTCTGTACGGCAAAGACAAGTTTAAGATGAACGCCATCTCCGTCACACATAAACCCAACGCAATCCAGATGGCCCTCTCGGTGTGTGAAGACCTCATCTCCAACCAGGTATTGCACCCTGTACAAACCACATCCAGCTGAACACAGATGCAGGCACTGTCTCAGTCCTAATCCTGTTGGATCCGAGTGCTGCTTTTTACACTGACAAGTTACAACCATGAGATCCTCATAAAGAGCCTGGAGGACTGAGTTGGCGTTGCTGGCACCATCTTAAAGTGATAGTCTGTAACTCTAAATGAATTACAAATTTTAGGAAATGTGTTAAATTGACCTCCTGGCCTTAAATGTTGATATAAAATAAGTCATTTTAATTTATTCTAATATTACAGGTAAGTCCCGCCTTCCCTTCTCTTAGCTATAGCTCAGAATCCACGGTGCCGTCGAGGTTAACCAATCGAGTCATGCCAAGGGCTGTCAATCATCGGCGCTGATGCTCGCAGCTGCGCGCATGCCCAGTTGTTTGTTTTTGTGGAGCTTCTGAATCAAGCCTTTATAGACTCTGGAACTACATGAAAACTGAACAAAGATTTCTGAACATCCGCGCTGAGTTACTTATGTATATACTGAACCTATATCCATAATCAGATCCTCTGCAGATGTGTCCTATAATGTGCAATTCATGATAATAGCTTGTTCAGGGTTTGCCGCGATCGCTTTTTTTGTGCATAAAAATAAAAACTTTTTTTTTAAAATTAAAACGTCAACAAATAATTCTGAAAACCTCCGTGCATGTGTATTAATAATGTATATGTATATCGTGTTCTCTGATTAACATTTAAATGTGTTACGGAAACGTAGGTGTAGACCAATCAGAAAGTAAGCGGGAGGGAGCTGGTGTAGTTTTTTTCAAATCACGACTCACTTTCTTACAAACTCCAGACAGTCACTTTAAGTTGGTTCAAGTTACTGTATATGTAGAAGACAGGATCAGATAATATGGCCCTGACCTGTGGAGTGCCACAGGGGTCGATCCTGGGACCTCTCTCTGTTCAATCTCTACATGCTGCCGTTAGGTCAGTTAATACGCAGTAACAACATGTCCTATAACTACGTTGAGGACACTCAGATCTATGTCTCACTGACTGCAGGAGAACATGGACCAATGGACTCACTCCTTCACTGCATCAGATCAGTGAGTGGATACAAACCAACTTTCTTCAGCTAAACGCAGACAAAACTGAAATGATTGTATTTGGTCCCCAGAAACAAAGAGAGAGCATTTATCTGTCACCTCCAGTCTCTCTCCCTAAAACCTTCAAATCAGGTCAGAATTCTAGGGGTTATAATGAACTCAATGGAAACATTGCCAGAATTGAAACTATAATAAGGCATCGGTTTTATATTGCGCTTTGCTGGACACTTAAAGACGCTTTACATGTCATTATTCATTCACTCCATACACGGTGGTGATAAACTACTATTGTAGCCACAGCTGCCCTGGGGCACACTGACAAAATCGAGGCAACCAGTATGGGCTATTGGTCCCTCCGACCACCACCAACCATTCACACACACACCAGACTCATTCTATATGGGATTGTATTTCCACTCTTTTTAATATACTATGATTTTTTTTATGATTTTATGGCATTGTATGATTCTTTCTATGTTGTTTTGTTAAGCACATGGAGTTGCCTTGTGAATGAACTGTGCTCCAAACAAACTTGCCTTGCCTAACATTTACTACTATTACTGTTACTATTGTTGTTATATTGTGATCTCCAATCATGATATATAAATTGTAATTCTCATATTGTGTATGTATACTATACAAAATACGAGATTCACTGATGATGTATCACAATGTAACCCCAAACCGATATTTTCTAACACCACCAGCAGTAACTATGGGATGTCCCGCATTAACCGCTTCTCATAGAATATGAAAGCAGGCAGTGGAACTGCTTTGTTTAGTTGTGGTTTTGTCCTGTTCACAGTTCAGCCCCGCCCCTTCTCTGACTACAGTTCTCTTGTAGAATATAAAAATGTGGATGTGAGGCAGAGATTATGAGTGTCCTGAAAACTGTAATCCAGAGCTGTCCATTGGAACACAGGGATTAACTCTAATCCACCATAGCAGAACTCTCTCTCTTTGATTTACTGCGTAAAGGTTTTTTATATTTTTTTTCTTACAAATTGCCTTTAAATTCTGCAAAATAGTGTTATTCTTTTGGCCAGTACCATGACTCTGAACCAATGGGACTGTACTGTTTGAGCAAAGATTGACAACTTAATTCTAATAAAATACTATGTGCGTTTTTTCTTTGCTTTGAAATTATAATCTCAAATGTATAGTATCTCTCCATGGCCTTGCACCAAAATATATTAGTGACATGTTAGTGCCATATGAACCAGCCCGAACTCTGAGGAGCACAGGGACTGGACTCCTGTTAGTGCCCAGAGTCAGAACTAAACATGGGGAGGCTGCTTTTCAGATTCATGCTGCTAAAATCTGGAACAGTCTTCCTGAAGATGTGAGACAGGCCTCCTCAATGACAATGTTTAAAACCAGGTTAAAAACGGTTCTGTTTAGCTGTGCATACAACTGAGGGATTTTATATTTTTAGCTTTCTTTTTAATGTTCTGTGATTATTTATGATTTTAATGCTTTCTTGTTTTGTTCAGCACTTTGAGTTGCCTTGTGTATGAATTGTGCTATATAAATAAACTTGCCTTGCCTTGCCTAATCTTTGATGAAAGGATCCTTAAAATTTAGTGAATGACCTTTTGTTGTTTTCACTCGGGCGCCTAAAGCGTCAGTGAAATATATTTTTGAAAATACAAAATACCTCCATGACAATAATCCTTGTCTTGTGTTAAGAGTTGATAATGACACTTAAAACAAACAAAAGTAAGAACATTTACAATTCAGAATAAAATAATGCTGATCTTAAAATGAGAGTAAACCTTCTTGTTCTATCGGCAAATAAAATAATAAAGTGCTCCAGTACTGAAAAAGTATACATGCGAACTAGTGATAAACGGTTTTGAGAGCAAACTGGATTTTATTATTTTGTATGTCTTCTGGTATGGACCTTTTACTCTTGTGTCCGAAATAAAATTGAATTGAATTGAATTGAATTATTACATTGTTCTTTATGTTTGTGGTTTGAAAGCTAAAGATTCCGGTTTTAAATACAAATCAGTCCATTTATTTCTAAAAGGGTCAAGATTATTATTTTATATTTGTTACAATTTTACTGTGAGCTGAAATATCACAATCTATTAACCTCACATTGATGACTGTCCTCAGGTTTATGCGATCCTAGTGAGCCACCCTCCTCAGTCCAGTGACCACCTGACGCCCACCCCAGTCTCCTACACTGCAGGCTTCTACCGCATCCCAGTGGTGGGACTGACCACACGCATGTCCATCTACTCAGACAAGGTAATAAGGTGAAATGTGAACCTCTGGTTCACATTTCACACCAGCGCACAATGTAGCATATTTTGTTTTTTTCTGCTATTTGCATGAACATTTCTGGGTGAAAGAAAATGTACATTTAACTTTATCAAATAAGGTTTATATCAACAAATTCTGCTGTGCCATCTGTCAAATATTATAACTGTTAGTGAGGTTGGTATTTGAATCATCAATCAAAAGGTATTCATAATTGATGAAGCAAATGCACGTGCCAGTTAGACCCACCCCACTGGTTCTTGATTGGAGGGAATTAATTAAAACCCTTGATACACAGCTGAAGCCCCTCACCATTGGTCAATCTCATCTGCTCCACCAAATATTACTGGCGGTGGTTATACCACGTGGAGGGACGTGGATAATATTTGTTTTATTACAAGGTCATATGGTCAAAAATATGTAGTTTTCTTATATAAATAAAATAAAATTTAAGTTACTGATATCACCTTTAAAGGTCCTATATCACGCTTTTCTTCATGTTTCACACTCAATCCTATACACATGTGTGATATTAATGTGTATGATACACCACACAACAATCAAAGCTTGTGAGATTAGAGCCATCTCTTGTATAGAGGTGACGTCACCTCGACTCAAACGAGCTGATCCAGAGTCTGCTCCTCTGCCTGTGAGCCCGCCTCCCCCCGCCCGCGCGGTGACGTAGCATCACGCTTTTGTCGTTTATCACCTGTACTTAGTAATTTCATACATAAGAATAAACTTCGAACCCTATGTCCTCGATGCACAATCAGACCCTAGTTATTTAGTTTACAGAAGTATACAGCGAGTTAGCGTCACTACTTACAGATCGAGGGGGTCTGAGTTACGTCTTTTACCGTGGGAATAACGTGTTTCCAGATCAGCCTTTGAGTAAGTCCAGTTCCATTGTCCCTGTAGTTCTGGAACAGTCTCAGTGAAGTGTCGCAGATGAACCGGTTTATAATAGATCCATGAGATGAACAGATGAAAAAAGTCGAGCCGCTTTCTTCCTCTTAGGGCCAAATAGTGTGTCACATATTTACACCCATAACACACTTCATTTAAGTTGACGTGATCCTAACACTTTTAGTTGCTGACAAAAGCATAAAAACAGCAGCTCTATGTGGTGTCCGCGAGACCAGACCACAGACGCTGGACTCGGGAGCCGGAGCCTGTGCGCTCTGATTCGCTGTTTTGATCCGTCAATCACCTCCCGCCGGCTTTTAATTTATTTCTATTTTTATTATTTTTGACAAAAAACAGCATACTAATTGTGTATTGTTTACCCCGTTTTGACAAAAGTATTTAACAACTATTTTAAATACAAAGCAAACGGGGTCATGCGCGTCATGCGCGTCATCAGTGTGGTTTTCGTCACTGAAGTGGACCCGAGCGTTTCTGTGCCTCACGCTGGGGAAGGAGACAGATTGCTCTCTTACAAAAGATTGACAGAATCAATGAATAAACTACTGTGGGCTTGTGTATGAAGGCCAAATAGCATTGTAATCATGTTTAAAGCAGAGAAAAGTCAAAAACCGTGATATGGGCCCCTTATACCCTATGGTTTCCCCTTTAAGATTTGATTTTTGTAAGGAACGTATTATTCACAATGTTTCTACTTTTGAAAACTTATTTGCTATTTATGTCACTTTATGTCAATTAAATTCTATGTATTCTTCAAAATTTGCCAACACAGATTAGAGAATTAAACAGTTAATTGACCACATATCGTTTAAACTTATATATTGTATTGGTCACATATTCAAAGATAATAAAGGGCTGAGTGGCTGACAAATATAGTTTGCAAAATCCAAGAGATAATCTTAACTACACATTTGTCCCCTCGTGCAGAGCATCCACCTGTCGTTCCTCCGCACCGTGCCTCCGTTCTCCCACCAGGCCCTGGTCTGGTTTGACCTGATGAGGGAGTTCAGGTGGAACCACATCATTCTGATCGTGAGCGACGACCACGAAGGGCGGGCAGCGCAGAAGAGGCTGGAGACGCTTCTGGAGGAGCGCGAGACCAAGGTACGCACACTCGCAGCGTCCGAACACAACCTACTGCACACCTCAACACTCACCGAGAACAGAGCAATGGCAAATACTTACAAGATCATCTCTGCACTTGAAAACCTGCACTAACAGAACTGAATGCAATCAAAACGAGAACTGAAACAGGACTATTACATTTGGAGTTAAATTGAGACTAAACAAGGTCTAGACATGGTCCATTAGAAAAAGTTGTTCAAATTTGAGGTCTCTACTATGAAGATGGCTGAACAAATGAACTGACTCGGATCGGATTACAATGACTCAGGTGCCTCTGGGCTTTTTTCTTATAGAGTAAAAATGTATTAATATTTATTGAATGATTTGACTTTTTATGCCATATAATATTTAAAGCTAAGAATCCATGAACTGTGACACAGCTGAGTAGCACTGTGACACAGCTGAGTAGCACACTTATCTTACTTACGTAGTTACTTTAGTAGTAACTCTTTATAGTACATATCGATCCATTTTTAAGGAATCCTGTTTTCATACATAAAACAGTTTTTATATAATGACAATGGAGCAATGGAACGATTTGTTGGCCATTTTTAGTATTTGAACAAATTTACCATGCACTATAAAGATGGAATTGGAAGTGTACAATATTTTTAAGCAGGATCATAAACGAAAATGTTAAACAATATTTATGAGGACATGTTACCATAGAGATCTGCCTGATAGAAAAGTCAGCCAGAATCTTTGTACAAGACAGGCTTTCTCTCATAGTTGTGAACCAATCCAAGTTATCCAATTAAACCAGACTCAAACTAGTTCTAGAATGTATATAAATTAGGATCACATAAAGACCAGCCCCAGGACCTGGTCTAGTACTTGTCTAGTCCCTGTTATCTTGCTTGGCTGGTTGTAATGTCTGGCAGAAGGCAGCTGGCCGTGTGTAATGCGGCTGCGTCGGACAGTGATGGCTCTGGTCCCGGGGCCCTCTGCTCGCAGGGGCTTCAGCTCTGCACTCTCTGTGCTCCTACAGTAACGAGTGGGTTTTCAAGTGAACGCTGCAATGAAGCAATCTCTGCCTGAGTTAAAATGACTTGAATTCAGAATGTGGAGTTATATTTGAGCGCAATTTTTCAGATGAGGCAATAAAGTCAGTCTAGTTCAATGTTATTCTCTTACTTAAAAGAATTACAATTGCTTTTTCATATCCTCCATAATTGACAAGAATGTAAAATCGCGAAGGAGATGGCATGGCATTAAAATAATTCTCATTCTAAAAGCTTTTAAAAATATTTGATATAATTTAGTATTTACAATAAATGGATGCCGCATTTCAGGAATTGGATGTACAAAAACAACAGAAAAAAACACTTTACTTGAGTGGACTTGCATCTTCACAAACCTGGAGAGGCTTCTTTTGGATATAAGATGTAGTAGTTTTAAATTTTTATTTCTATAGAATCCTGCTGATTTACATGAGGTCGCTTCAAAGAATAATTTATCTTTTCTAGTTTTCTTGTTGCTTTACTCGGCGTTTTGGTCACCTACTCTGATTCTGTTTGTGTCGCGGAACGGACGTCAGTCTCGACACTTCGCTGAGCAAATTGTTAATCAGTCAAAACAAATGTTCTGAATTCAATCCATTGTAACAAAATTGGATTTTCCTTTTTTGCAGTGGACATTGGGGCGCCATGTTCATTCGGCCTCTTTTATTTTCCTCGCGCTGCTTTCTTCTTCGCTCTTGTTTTATTGTTACTGTGGCATTTATAGCGCTCTGGCCAATGGGCAGCTGTGGCTGGGCTCTATGATTGGTTGAAAGTGTTTATACCTAGTGATATGTTCCTCTGTCCACTACTCTGTCTCTGTCTTTTCATGTTCCCATTGAAATGTGTGACTCAGCTCAGACTGGTTTTACAGATGCTTCAACTGTGTTTTTGCTCGCTGACAAACTCGCTGACATCTCACCTCAGAAACACACTTTTTCAGATGCAGTATGTTGTTTCAAAGATATATGTGCCTCTAGGTTCCCCTACATTTCAGAATGAGTTACCTGAGTCAGCCGAAGGATTGTACAAACAATAAATATAGTGAGACAGTGTGCAGGAGTTCTTCCATTTACAGAATGATTTAGTTTGATCTTTACTAATCCATCAGAAATGGGTTTGCAGAGAACATGCCTTTTTACATGCAGTTTTTAATCTTATTCTGTATGATACATATCTTTTTCTTATCTTTGCTTTGTCTTTCATGCGTTGAAATGATGTAAACAAGACACTGTCTCACTTGTGTTTTACTCAAGTGTAGACGGCACGCTCATGCAATGTTGGTTAAAAAAAGGCCTTCTACTGCATACAGCAAAAGATTCTTAATTAAAATAAATGTGATAGCAAACATTTGGTCAGACATTCTTATGATGTCAGTGGTGCAATCAGTGAGTTTAAAACAGCAGAGAAAGCCTTTGTGGTGCTGCTGTCAACTTTACAGATCTAATTTGTTTGATTCAACAATTAAGGAGAGAATGAATTAGTGTCCGGGAGATAAATAAGTGTGGATAAAGCTTGTACACCTCTGCACGTGATAATGTGTAAAAATCTATATATGTTAATGTCCATTGAATACTTCTGCTTTTTTACATTGAACGCATGTTTGCATATTGATAAAATGTAAAGGTTAACAATTAACAAATCATATGATAATAATCCACAGGTGTCACAGATTATAACATTTACTTATCAAGATTTACTTATTAATCTGAAGTAAATCTCACAAGTCGTATCAATAGTTGATGGAAGCGATGGAGTGAGAGTGGATCCATGTGACAGTGACCTCAACAACAAACAGCACAGATATGTCTTCACTGAACAACATCAACTATAGAAGATATAGAGACAAAAAAGAATCAATGTTTAGATATATATTGATATTTGTAAATGAGATAAAATATACATGTTTAATTTAGTCATATTAATTTTCCCAATCTCATTTTATGTTTATTTTGACTTTAATAAGAATAAATCATCACTATAAATTTCTTTTCTTTTTTTTTTAACTATAGAAGCTTTAGTCTGGACTCTTTGACTAATCCTGGTTTGGATTGGGTTTTCAGACTTTATTTGACCTGGTTTATTGCATCTGGTTTAGAAGTGTATAACACTATGTCTCTGTGGAATCTTTGTTACCATTGGTGTGATATTATGGTGAGATGTGTTTATTTTTGGCTCTGCTGCTCTTAGTCGTGTCTGGTTTGATCAGATGAATCTGTTTTGACACAACTTGTTATTTTTAGTGCATTTGTGATTCTATTGATGTTGAGACTGCATTTAGAACAGTTTCAGACAAAAGCATGTTTGTTTTAATCATCAGTTTATATGATCTCAGTATGGAATCCTTCCAAATACGCCATTATGATAGTATTTTATTTAAAGTAAACAGGGCTGTAGTCTTGGTTGACTACTTTTTGGCACATTGTTTTGATAATTCAAATGTAGGATATTCATAACTGTGATCTCTGGGTGTCATAGATGAGCAGACAGAAGCACAATCTGACACATTTAAATAATCCAATGTGTGCGGCCTTCTGTCATCCTTTGCCCACTGCGCCATTAGTGCCTCTGAACCAGGACTCACGATTTCTGTGAAGACATTTTTGGCAGTTTTCTGATTCCACAGTAGGACAATTATGTATAATTCTGTCTGAATTCTACCTTTTTAAAAGCCCAAAAGTGCCCACCATAATCATAACCCAAGGAGCAGCCAGGTGTAACACCCTGTTACATGTCTTCAGTAGCAACAGTAAACCTGATGCATGAATCTTTGCAATTCGGAGCAATGCTCAATGACATAATTAATTTCCTCATTATGCATCTTGATTCCTGGCAAATATTAGTCTGAATAGAATGTTTATTTACAGATGCCTCTTCTTTGTGTTTATCAGGATTTATCAGTGATGATTTGCTCCAGGCCTATGTTTCACTTTTGAGTAAGTAAGTAGTAAGTAAGTAAGTAAGTAAGTAATCTTTATTTATATACCGCCTTTCACAGACCAGAGTCACAAAGCGGTTTACAATTGTTATTAATCGCCCTCTTTTGAGAGCAATTGAAAGAAAGGCATTTTTTCCCAAAATTGGCTCCAAATTTAGCTTTGGGTTCATTGGCATCTACGGTTCCTCGTTGTGGTGGTGTCAAGAGTGGGAAGTGAGTTCTATCATCAGCCTGATGAGACACACACTGGAAATCCCAGATATGGAACTTTGCCGCTAGCGCCATTTTGCTGAATTGGATTGATGCCAAATTCAATTGGTCATGCATCAGTTCCCTTGTCTATGCTTACAATCGTTGTGCTTATCAGATAAATAATGCTGTACCTATCTATTTATTATATTATTGTAGCCAAAACATGTTCATAGAAAATGTGGGAGTGAAAACATTTACATGAAAGGTATTTACTGGATAGTAGTATTTACCGTAGTGGCTCTCCCAGTCTGAGCTGAGTTTGTCTTATCTGTCTTCTGTCTTCTGTCTAACCCCTGTCTGTCCCTGCTGTTTTGAGTGTGCCCAGCTCATGTGTGTTCTGACTGTGCATATCTCTGTCGTATTTTCTCTGTGCCACACACATCAGACTAAAAACAGGAACTTTGAGCAAATGGACCTACAGCACTTTGACTTCAGGAGGACCCCCAAGGTATATTCTCTGCATGCTCCATGAGCTGCACGTCGCCCAATTGTAGCGCAGACGCCGCGTTAGTCCCGCCCACCGGACACATGACGGACACATCCCTCCTTTTTTCTTTGGTTCCGTTGGTTTCCTGCATCGGGAATGGGTCGCTCACAGGAGACGCCCCCTTGCCATTTCCTGAACCCCTTCCTACTTCCTGTTTCCTTCTTTCTACTTCCTTTTCCATAGAGAGGTAAGCCCCACCTCCTTTGGACTCAGCTGAAATGAGTTAGCGGCAGAAATGTGAACTGGAGCAGAGGCGTCAGAGAATGATGGTCCGTCACACAGAGCCTGTCTCTGAGGTCTGGACTGTCGGACAGAAATATGGTTGCATAATAGATGAATGAATTGATATAGTATGTTACAATCAAACGACGGTAGTTTCAGATCAAAAGATAAAGAAAACTAGACCAGGGATTATAAAAGTTGAGATCCTATATTTATTTGTCTCAACTGCAACTGAACTAGCGCTAAATTATTAGTAAAGTATGTTAGCTATTTTTTCAAAAGTGTATAACTTTTGAACATTAATTAGATGGCTCCACATATTAGAAAACAATAACACAGACTCTTTCAGCTGCCGCAGGGTTATGGCTAGTGGCAAAATATTCATGTTACAAAGGAACAAGTGACAGTTATGAATAACTTAGATGGATCACTTATCTTTATTTTCTTTAAGGAATTTACATTAATTAGCTTTAAAGTGTATACAATTAATTCATTTGTAATACAGAATTGTCTTTCAGACCATGGTTCATGGTTCTTGTGATGTGACAAAATACTGTATTTTCTCTGCCCTGAATGCTTCAGTCCACACATCTGCTCGTCAGCTGTGAGCCGATGGAGGCGGGACTTCTATCTATGGTGGCTGCATGTTACAGACAGCGGTTTGGATCTGCAGACACTGCCTTCCTTTTAGGCCCCTCCCCCTAATGCACGTCCCTGATTGGTCGTTGGTTTGATTGACAGCGCCCGTTGCATGTTGCCACTACCTCCTTCTTCTTTTATGGGCTTTTTTTCTTTTATTTGAGCGGCACTTTTTTGGCCCTCTGCGGCGGGAGGCAGCATGGTCACGGCTGACGCTGGGGGGCGGGGTCTAAGGGAAGAGTGGGGGGCTCACCCTTGATGCTAACGCTAATAAAGCTTGTTCTATGACTGTTGTGTTGTATTGATGTTGCGTTGGATCAGGCAGAGAAGGTGCTGCTCTTCAGCCCGGACACCAACCTGACGTCATTGCTGCTGGAAGCCAAAGATCTTGAGGCCAGAGTCATCATCCTGTCTGCCAGGTAAAGCTGTCCATTGGTAAGAAAATACAATGTTGTCAGATTTGCGCACAATTAATTAAGTTGCACCAATAAATTACAATGATTATGGCACACTACTTTCATATTGATTAATATAATCCTCATTAACACCTGCTGTTAGGGAGATTAAACCAGTCTCAGGCCCTGTCCACACGAAGTCAAGCTCAGGCCTAAACGCAAAAATACTTTATCAATCCAGTGTATCGTCCATACGAGGCCGGCGTTTTGGGGGGGTGTAAACGAACATTTTTGAAACTAGGTCCCAGAGTGGAAAGATTTCAAAACTCCGTATATGCCGCTCCGTGGTTACTGCCTCTCCGCAATGTATCTGAGACGCTTGCGTCATCGCCCCCCCTCTTGTTAAAGCACGCATGCGCCGCACTCAGAAAATAATGACAACAACAATGTAGCTTGTTGGTTTTGTAATCCAGTGCGACCCGAAGCAACAGTTCAACCTCATCGTCCGTCCATACTAATGTAGTACCAGCTCGCCCACTCGCCATGTTGTCTGTTTACAAAATTCTGCGCATGCCCACGGAAGTTTGGGCTTGATCCCGTCATTGCGTCACAGCGCCACCAACAGGTCTGGCATAGTTTCACAGCGTTTTCAGGCGTATTGACTACATTCATATGGACGCACACATTTACTGAGCTAACTCCGTGTTTACAGAAAAAGTTTCTGAAATTATAAGCGTTTTGTCTTCGTGTGGATATAGTCTCAGTGTAACTGGTCAGGTAACTTGCTGCTAGGCAGGAGGTCCACTTGTTGGCTGTGACTAAATGCATTCGGGGGGTCATATAGCAAACCAGAGGCTAAAATTCTGTACGTAAGTAAAATTATGTACAACATTTGGTTTAGTTCTATTGGACATGTGCATGAAAAAAGTTTTGGTGCACTCTTGCTCGTGCACATACGCTTGATAAATGAGGCCCATAGACTTGTTTGCAGCTGTTTACAGTGGTAAGATGATATACTATTAAAATTCATAGGAAGCACGAAAGCACATCAAGATTTTCATTGAGGCCATTGATCAGCAGTAACTGAGAAAGAGAAGTGTAATTTTCAATTTAATTCCTCGTGTATTCTTTAAACACAGCTTGCTGAGCACATAACAACATATTAGGAGAAAACGTACGAAAACAATATTTCATCTGCATACCTGTGTTTGTCTCTGTCCGTGTGCTCAGTGAGGACGAAGCCGCGGCGGTGTACAAGGCAGCGCGGCATCTGAACATGACGGGAGCAGGATACGTGTGGCTGGTGGGAGAAAGAGAGATGACAGGGAAGGCCCTACAGGAGGCGCCAGACGGTGAGAGCCAAACCTCATCATTGAACCGGTCTGAGCCAGTGTAAACAGTGTGTGTGCGGGCTGATCCCATCCAGCATCCAATGAGACAACAATCGGAAAATTGAATTCATAACAGGTTATATATACAACACAACATTGGCCCAATAAGAAGCAACACAAATGTTATTATAATAGCACGTCACATCTAGTTCTATTTTCAGTTTTAACCTGAATTAAAGAAAAATATGACGAATAAACATTACGACTTCTATCCGATTTGTATTATTGTATTACATAAAGTACAAGTGTAATTATTTATATATATATATTTGTTTCTTTTTAAAGTTTTAATAGGTAAATCTACACATTAGTAAAGTCCTCGAAACTAGTGTTGACACCATTAAGATAAGATTTTTTTTTTCACTTCTAACCTGGTTGGAAAAAGAGTAATCTATCACTATCTGTAATCTGCTAAACACAAATAATCTACATTGTCATTCAGGAATGAAAAGAAAGACAGAGAAAAACATTCTAACGTAATTACATTTTTTATCCAATTCACATTATTTCTCTAGCACCTTTCTTTAGACAAAAGTGAACCCTTAAGTGCTGTACATAGTGACATAATTGCATTGAGATTAGAAAGTATCATACAATAAATGTAATGTTGAAATCAACCCAAAGTTCACTAAAAACACGTAATGAGCTGGATGGAAACAGCTCTGCTTCCATTAAACTCAATCAAAGCTAATCCTGGTTAGCTGTTAGCTTGTGGTTAGCTTGTGTTTAGCGTCCCTGTGTGTTCTTCTCTGGTTTTACTGTGTTGGGTTGAACGTTTAAACCCTGGAGGTGGAGCTGGTGAGCGTTTAAAGGTTCTAACCGTCTCTTCTTTCTGCTCGTTGTAACTGTGGCTTAACTCTGTGTCTAACATCTTTTTGTTTGTTTCATTTTAGTGTGTGTCCTCCGCCGCTGTGCTCAGGGGGAGGGGCTTTGGGAATGTGGGCGGAGAGGGGGAGGGGCTTGGGGAATGTGGGCCGAGATGGGGGTGGGTGGGTGAATACTCAGATAATGGGCTTACTTATTCAGTATCGTGACGTAAAGTAGGTATGTAGAAGATTCTCCACATAAACAGGGACGGACACAAAAGGATAAAATACATAATCCTGATCCTTTTACTTTAAGTGCTCAATATGTTATAAACACGATACTATCAGCGTTTAAAGCATGCTCAAAGAAATGCACTTTCAGTTGTCGCCGTGGTAATGCGTACTACAATGCTTGGGAGATGATACTGTTTTTTTCACACAAAATGCTAAAGTTACACTCGGTACTGCCAAGAAAATTTGGATCCACACGTTTATTCTTCATGTTGGGCGTCTCTGCTCAGGCTGCGTCTGCGACCCAGCCTGGATAAAGTGCTAGTCTACTGACATGTACATGACAGTGTAAGTTTCTATTATATACTGTACGTTGATTATGAGTTGAGTACATTCCTGTTTATGTGGAGAAAAGGCTCAGGAGAACACTATGTTTCTCTGAACGTGTTGTTATTTCTTGGGATGAAAGGTTGGGTGTGGTTAGGGGCGGGATGCGGGGTGTAGCTGTAGTCGCCGGTAAACGTGATCGTGAGTGAATCTGGTAAGACGCCGCCATTGCTTCCTGCTTCCTGTTTCCTGCCTGACACTGTGTCCCATAACGAGGGGGGTCGGCAGGTTTCACTCAGCCAGAGACTTGGATATACTCTATTTCTTCACTTAAGATAAAACAACAGCTTTGCTGTTCTGGCCTTTCACAGAGATGTGTCCAAATATCCACATATGCTACTCATCAGTCATCAAAAAGCAAATACAAACTCTATTCATGTAAATTCATTCACGTTTTTAAAGGGACACAGAAAGATTGTAACTTAAGCAATAGTTGTCAGTATAGCTTAAGATGTTTGTATTTTTTTCATCTTGGACCAAATTTGAAAAATCTTGTCCGTTTTAATATGCAACAGGAGATCCCTAATGCAAGCTGAGGGCTTTCATTAAAATGAATGAGCTACAAATCATATAATAGAGGACTATTCATGGATCTATAATAATAACATGAAATGGACACAGCCTAAAGATTTGGCTGAGAAACTTTACATAATATTACACATTTTATTTGAGTTTTATAGAGTCTCTGGCTGTGTGCCTGCCCTCTTTGTCTCAGTACTGATCTCTACCAAATGTCCCTGTTAAAAAAATAATGTGTCATTTTTAAACAAAAGCTAAATCTCCCCCTTTTAAAAATGACTGATTATTTCTATGCAGTGATGCTCAGCTGTGCAGTCTGAGGATGGAACAGCTTCAGATTGAACCCAATTAAAACTTTTAACTCTTTTAAACTGCATGTCATTCTTTTTATGGAATGGTAAAATGTTTATAATAATGTTATTCTTGTAAGACTGTTGATTTTAAGTGTTTTGAATGGTAAAGCTCGAGAAGAGATTGTAATGCAGTCAGTAATGATGGGTTTGTTCGGAAGCTGTGCCCCAACCTGGAGCCTCTGTGTGTCTTCAGAAGAACAGTCTCTGATGTTACTCAGTTTCATATAACACCAGCTGTTAGCTCTGTTAGCATCTCAGCTTCATTATGAAGGATCTTTTGCCCATGTTGTGAGCTAGATCTGTATGTCTATTAAAGGAAGGATATAGAAAGAATCTGTGAGAACTTGCTACATTTTTATTCAATCTAAATGCAAAGGCTTTCTGGTGATATGGCCATGGTGTGAAGTCCAGACGTGTGTAGATGTGGTGCTAAAGTCCAGACGTGTGTAGATGTGGTGCTTAAGTCCAGACGTGTGTAGATGTGGTGCTAAAGTCCAGACGTGTGTAGATGTGGTGCTTAAGTCCAGACGTGTGTAGATGTGGTGCTTAAGTCCAGACTTGTGTGTAGATGTGGTGCTTAAGTCCAGACGTGTGTGTAGATGTGGTGCTTAAGTCCAGACTTGTGTGTAGATGTGGTGCTTAAGTCCAGACGTGTGTGTAGATGTGGTGCTTAAGTCCAGACTTGTGTGTAGATGTGGTGCTTAAGTCCAGACGTGTGTGTAGATGTGGTGCTTAAGTCCAGACGTGTGTAGATGTGGTGCTTAAGTCCAGACGTGTGTAGATGTGGTGCTTAAGTCCAGACGTGTGTGTAGATGTGGTGCTAAAGTCCAGACGTGTGTGTAGATGTGGTGCTAAAGTCCAGACGTGTGTGTAGATGTGGTGCTAAAGTCCAGACGTGTGTGTAGATGTGGTGCTTAAGTCCAGACGTGTGTAGATGTGGTGCTTAAGTCCAGACGTGTGTAGATGTGGTGCTAAAGTCCAGACGTGTGTGTAGATGTGGTGCTAAAGTCCAGACGTGTGTGTAGATGTGGTGCTTAAGTCCAGACGTGTGTGTAGATGTGGGGCTAAAGTCCAGACGTGTGTGTAGATGTGGTGCTAAATGCTAACAGTGGTGCTATGTGAACTGAGGACCGCAGAGACTCTCTGCTGCTGTTCAGATGCTCTCTCTGAGGCTTAGGCCGGGCTAGACCTGCTCCAGACCTGGTCCAAGACTGGAATTTATCTTTGTCCAGGTTCTAGTCCCGGTCTAGACTCTGGTGTGAGCCTCTAAGTCCTGAGACTAACAGCTGAGGATCTCCCAGCATGCACTGCTCTGAGCACATTCCCTAGAGACTTCCTCTGAACTCATTTATTGAGCCTGAACTGATTTTTAATTAAAGTCGGGTTTGGTTTTAATTAAGACTCACTCGATCAGGGACAGATTTACAAGATAGAATTCATTCACTTGAAATATCTGAAAGGAAATATCTGAAATGAAATATCTGAAAAGAAATATCTGAAATGAAATATCTGAAATGAAATATCTGAAATGAAATATCTGAAAAGAAATATCTGAAATGAAATATCTGAAATGGCTTGAATTCTAGTAGAATATTAACCATACTTTTGAGTAACCTTAATAAAAAAAAAAAAAAATCATTATCCTGTATAGTTATTGACAAAAGAAGATGCTGTACATCTTCCTTCACTCTCTCATTTACTCGTTAAAACACAGAGTATACTACTATTGTAGCCACCACTGCCCTGGGTCAGACTGACGAAAGTGAGACACCATCAGCCTTTTTCACTACCATCCCTCACTCGCACAATTACACTCATACTACATACATTTTTATGTAATAGTATTTTCAAGCATTTATGGAAAAAAAGAAAAAAGTTTGATCTTGTATATATTAGATTAGATCAGCAGTAATTGTTTTCTTATGCAGATCCGTTTTGAAGACTCCATGAGAACCAAATCACCAGATAATTAATGACAATTCAGTCCAAATTCAGGATACCAGACAGTAATCAACATCAACACAAGATCCAATGGAGCTGAATTTGGTTTGAATCATGACGCACAACAAGTTGCTTTACAGATTTTAGTCAATTATTGTGAAACCTCGATCAAGGATTTTACAACTTTAGTCAAAACGACTCATGAGTTCAAGTCATTTCCAGTAGATATGACATTTTTGCAGAGCAGGCAGGCCTTGGAACAGAGTTTTTTCAGACCGTTCATTTATATTTAGATATAAAGTATAAAAGTGTAGCTGGCAAAATGCTATATTTAGGGAAGTTACAAATACCTGATTTAAGAATATTGTATCACAATTTGAGTTGCTTTGACTTTTCAAGTGACTAATCCACCAATGACTGTTGAACTTAATCAATTCGATTGGCAGATTGTTGTACTTGTCAAGTCAAAATTGGGCTTCTCAAATTAAGATATCATATTCTAATATGGCAAACACGATGATTTAGGGACCACATAAAAGCCCAACAGGGAAAAAGCATACGTTGTTAGTCTCTGTGTTGTATATGGCCTATATCCTCAGCGTTATTTCCAATCAATTTATAATGTATATTTATATGTGCTTTGAACATAGTAATAAATGGCACAGTTACGAACTAGCATATATGTTACTCCTTCATTTCCTGACCCTTTGTGGCCCCTAAATGAAAGTGTTAGCATCATTTTAACTTCTCTAGATATAACCTTCTGAACACTTTATAATAACCACTCCATAATAAGCCTTATTTAAGCATGAGGACATATTTAGTCCACAATGAACACATGAGTTCATGAGTTTCATTTCATTATCATCATGCATTAAATAAAGAATATTTAGGGCTTAATAACTGCTTAATTACAACTTACAACTGGTCATAGATATATGTTTGTTCAATGTGAGTAAAGTTTGTTTCTTAAAGAGTATAAAATAAACCTAGGAGCCATTTCATTAGTTGGAGGTGATATTTATTACATTAAATTGGTATTAACTAAGTCTGAATTATTATTCTTTATTATCATTCTAACAAGTCCTTATCTGTAAATGGGCGAGGAGGATATGAATAGATATTTCCTAAGTATGAATAGATCTTAATTAACATTTTGTCCATTATGAATAAACTATTACCTCATGCTTAATGGCTAAATCTGGAGTTGCTATTATAAACAGTTTCCTAACTTTCCAGAAGGAGCCTGGTCTCTGTCAGCTTCAGTTCCACTCTCTATCAGATGTTTTAGCTGTGGCTAGTCTTAGTCAGGCTTCAGCAGGGGTAAGTCCTGGTCTCTGGCGTCCTCTGACTTGGTCCTCTCTCTCAGGCCTGCTGGGACTGCAGCTGATCAACGGGAAGAACGAGTCGGCGCACATCTCGGACGCCGTGGGAGTCGTGGCCCAGTCGCTGCAGGAGCTGTTCGAGAAGGAGAACATCACAGAGCCCCCCAGAGGATGTGTGGGTAACACCAACATCTGGAGGACCGGGCCGTTGTTCAAGAGGTACGCAGTGTTGGGGTCTCCAAACCTGGCCTTTGTTCGTAAAGGAGACATAGTCAAAAAATTTGCTTCTGGCCTTGTTACAGTAGTTACGTTATACATATCCTCACATACGCCAGCCGCCATTGCTCTCACCTCAGTCCTCTGACTACTGGCACCTAGCACCTTCCCTGAGATTTCCTTTTCCTTTCTGAATCTGTGATATGTTGAGGATTCACCCACCATATACTGTCACTTTAGGAAAAAATACAATCACATTACATCTGCGGCCGAGGTGAGAGAAAGTCGGTTTCCCTGACACTCCGTCAAAGGGGTGGGGCCATGTGGCACAAAAGAACACAAGAGAACTTGTGCCACATAGCTAACTAACTCATTTATTCTATAAAATTGTTTTGGCGCAATCTAAACATTCATAGATTATTCTAGTATAGAGAACAAAGCTATGGATTGATTGAGGGCGACACATTTAGGGCTAATAGGTTCCATTCATGTGACATCACAACATTCCAAAGAGCCAATAGTTTAAATTTGCGGCAGAAAGCTGGTGAAAATCTTTCCTGGTGACTATAGTAAGTGTCAAAAGTCAGACTACTATACTGTAAAAGGTGTTGCAGTGGACTATAAACGAGTGACTAACCTTGTCTAATCTCTGATGTTAACAGTTTATTATCCTGTGCACTTAAATACCCCGGCACGTTCTAGGAGCACTCAAACTGGGCAGTCACATGCAAAAAGAGACTTATAGATACAGTGAAACGAGATGAGGTAGCAGAGGATGCTGTGATGTCGGAGTGACCTAATTCCTGCAGTCATCTCTGTGCACATCTGACGTCATGGAACTTGTCATGTGCCCAGTCGAGTTTCAAAGCCACAACTCTGAGCAGCGCAGCATCATCTCAAACAATCCAGTTTGATTTCCGTTTTAGGTTTGAGCAATGTTGTATTGGTCTGCATTTGAGGCCCATTTCTCTGAACTTGTTACAGTTATTTGAAAAAAAATAAAAAATAGAAGTTCTTATACAGTACTTAGTTTTCATGAAATTTGTGGAAGTTTAACCCCAATTCTCTGACAACACTTAGCCAGGTCTGTGGATTGTCCTGCCCATACCCGCTCTCTCAGCTCTCCCCACAAAAGCTCAATATCTAGGTCAGGGCTGTGGACTTCGTTCATGTGCCATTTACTGTATGTGCAAGTTTGGAATTCTCCTTTGGTCATTCTCCATTTGGAACACACATCGAAGCTTCAACTCCCTCGCTGATGTCTTAATGTTGGTTCATAATATCCAGGACTCCCCCCCCCTTAGCAAAACACCTCCTACATTGTGATGTCCTCCACCCCAGAACTAGTGTCTTTACAGGACACTGTAGTTTTTGAAACGTTTTACCCGTTACCTTCATCCTCTTTACAAGGTCATTTGCTGTTCTTCTCATTTGGCCTGTTGCTGAATCTTAGACTGAACTCGGACTAAAATAGGTCCAAACCAACACAGAAACACGTCTACACAAGTAACTGAGTCTTGTTCTCTGAGATGAGGGACGTGGACTTCTCTGAGTCAGTGACATGGGTCTAACACAGGGCTGCGCTGGTCACGCTCTGTTTGCTCCATCTCCCCATGAGGATAACGAGCCACTACATCGTTATTCCCAAATCTCACATCAGAAGCGTTGATCGAACATGACAAGTGGCCAGCAGAGGTCAGGGCTCCAGCGTTTAGTTAGTACAAGTGGCTTGAACCGTTTACTTTGTGGAGGAACTATTTAATTGAACTTGTTGAACTCAGCACAGCAGAACACTGTTGGAGGCTCTAATCAGTCCTTTTTAAAGTGGAATAACTCTTTTGATTTCCAACTCAGAGGAGAATGAACGTTATTGTTAAATGTACCTCCTGAAACTGTGAACATAGAGTGAACTGATTGAGGAGAAATTTTATTCAGAATATCAATGATGGCTCAGTGGGTAGCACTTTTGCCTCCCAGCATGAAGGTTGCATATTCAATTCTTGTGCCATCTGGGCCTTCCCGTGTGGAGTGTGCATGTTACTCCCTGTGTCTGGATGGGGTTCTTCCTGCTCCAGTTTCCCCACCACCCAAAATAGGCCTCAAACAAAAGTCCTGACCAAGAGCGTTGGACGGATGGCTCAAATGCAGAGGACAAATTTCACTTTGATGGCTTTAAAGCAAACCTTCAATGAATTACTCAAACATGCATGGATAAATGTAATGGTGAATTAATTTAGGTTGGTTAAAATCTAAACTTTTCATAATATGTCCCTTTTAAACTTGATTCTCACCGAAGTGTGTATTACTCCTCCTGAACTCTCTCCCTTATTGGCTGACAGAGTGCTGATGTCGTCCAAATACCCTGACGGTTTGACAGGACGAATCGAATTTAATGATGATGGTGACAGACGCTTTGCCACCTACAGCGTCCTCAACTACCAACAGAAACCCGGCAGACTGGTGCAAGTCGGTGTCTTCAATGGGACCCAGGTAGGACTATGCCAGGCTACACAGGGAGTGAAAAATTTAGTTTCCTCAAAGTTTGAAAGTTTTGGCACCCCTTCAGCACAAACATTCACCAGAAGGCTCAAATTGTATTCCACATCATCTAAACAACTGTAGCATCTAAAGTTATCTTCAGAATGTTGGTCAGTTAAATGGTGACTTGCAAATTCCGTTATATCCAAAGAGACACATGTAATTCAATTAAATTCAATGTATTATTGTATAGTCCTAAATTAGGTGTCGTAATCAACAACTCCCAGGTGCAGATCGTAGAGGAGTGCAAGTTTCTGGGGTTAACTCTGTCTAACGACACTGACCGAGTCGTTAAGAAAGCTCGTCAGCGTCTCTACTTTCTGCGTAAACTTAGAGAATTTACCACTAACTCTAAGATTCTGCTTAACTTTTATCGCTGCACCATTGAGAGTTTACTTGTTGGTTCTGTATCTGTGTTGTTTGGAAACATCACAGATAAAGAAAAGAGAGCTTTAAACAAGGTGCTCCGCTCTGCAAAGAGGACTGTGGGCTGTGAGCTTCCTGTTCTGGAGGTTCTTTATAAATCCAGACTTTTAAACAAAGCTCTTAGGATTGTTAATGACTCTTCTGGCCACCCTGGGAAAGCCATGTTCCAGCTTCTTCCCATCTGGCAGAAGATATCGCTCTCTGAGATGCAGGACATCTCGTTACGCTAACAGTTTTTGATCGATTTCACAGTGACATTTGTTTACTGTTTTATTTGTTTTATTTTTGTCTTTTAATGTTGTTTTATGTCTGTATTTGTCTGTGCACACTGGAGACTTTTGCTAATGTATTCCAATGTGGTTTTTTTTACTGCAAATGGCAAATAAACTGAATCTGAATCTGAATCTGAATCTGAATTACACCAGTAGTGATCATGGAGGATTTTACAAAACCGTCAAATTTGCCAACACGTATTTCTAAAGTTCCATGTTGTTAAATGGAGTCACACACAATACTTACAATATCAGTGTTTTGTCCATGAGAGCCAATATAAGGCGGCATCAACACCACCTCCTTTGCAATACGCCGGCAAAACCAACAAAGAAAAAAAAAAAAAAAAGATTTTTTTTATTTAACATATAAACCAGTAGGAAGAAGAATCGCACACACCTTGAGACTTTTCAAAATTATTTGTCCTATTCTTGGTTTATTCATCCTATGCACCTCAACTATGCATATGCGTCTGTGCACTCTGCGTCTCAAGTATTATTGTGCAAGATTTCCTTCTATTAAAACTTATTAGCTTTTCTGTTGATGGGGCCGCATTTTGTGCTTGTCAAGTCAATTTTACAAGTTATATCTGCAAACTAAGTTTCAGTAAAGTATGTGAATTTAGCCTTTGTTTAGTTGTCCTTCTCCCTGTGCTCAGGTGGTGATGAACCCTCAGAGGAAGATCATCTGGCCCGGAGGAGAGACAGAGAAACCACTAGGATACCAGATGTCAACGCGGCTAAAGGTACAACTGTAGTCACTTGAAGGAGACATAATGCTACATTTTACAACATTTTTAGATCCATCAATGCAATTATCAGAAACAGCACTGACATGTAGCTCAGCCCCTGTCTGAGTCCTGTAATAGTATGACGTCATTGTTACACTATGACATCACTCCAGTGGTAGTGAAGGAAGTTATAAGTAGAAAATATTTTTTCTTCTTCTGTACTTCTGTCGCCTAATTTTTTTTTTACTGGATATATTATTTCACATTCTGAAAAAATAGAATTTTTTCTCATTATCATTTCTAATGGCCAAATATAATGCATGATATTAAAGAAGAATAAACCGATGTAGTCTGGTGATGCCTGTGCATCATTATTTGTACATCTGAAATCTCAATATTCATCTTAAACTGAGCACTGAGCGTTTTACGGGGGGGCGTTATGCTGAGAATCCCTAATATTGGCGTTTATATCAAAGGTGGTATTGTTTGGTATGGGTCCTGACATATTCAAGGTGAAAGAATGGGTGAAAAAAATGTATCACAACTTCTAAGCCAACCAGTCGCCATCTTTTTGTGAGCAGATAGTGACAATCCATCAGGAGCCGTTTGTTTACGTCAAACCCACAAAGACGGACGGGACGTGTAAAGAGGAATACACCGTCAACGGAGTCCTCATCAAGAAGGTCATCTGTACAGGGCCCAATGGAACTATTCCAGGTCAGATTACACTTTCAGTACATTTTAGTTTTATTTAGATTGCATATCATATTGATGCAAGGTGTTATTGTTGTAGGTCAGCCCTTTGGTTGCCAATCAAATTAGTAAATCAATTTGATATGATTGACGACTCAGTCACCCCTTCATCCCATGACCAGGGCGCAGTCATCTCTCTCCACCATTAAAGGATTTTGTTAAGCCTTAAAATCAAAGGCTGGTGGATGATTATTCTATCACCAGATTCGAGAGGTTCTGAACTCTATAATGATATATGCTGTGTTTTTATTAGCAGAGGTGAAATTGGCTGCTTGGCAGTGTTGTTTCTCTGTGATTCTTTGATATATTTATTTATTTATTTATTGATTTATTTGATAGGGACAAGTGTACACAATCAACATGTGAAACACTACAACATTTATAGCCAAGGCTAGTTTGCAATGTCCGTCCCTAGGAGGGCTTTTAACACAATTAAAACACATTATACATTTTAAAATTCACATTATACAAAAGCAGATGTTCTCCAACTCATTGATGCTCACACACCTGGTTTGTTTTAAAAAATCGCTTTAGTTCATGTTTAAAACCAGCCCAGTCAGAGTTCAGTTTTAGCTGAGGGCTTAAAGAGTTCCAGAGCTTTGCCCCCTGGACCGAGAAGACCGACTGTCCGAATGTGGTTCTCCTGAGGGGCACTTTCACATTCCCGTTAGAGGAGCCCCGTGTGACGGATCTCAGAGGAACTAAGAGAGCACTCAGGACAGCAGGGGCTCGACTGTGCAAACATTTGTACAATAATTTACAATTACAAAATTTAATAAAATTATCAAAACTAAGAAAATGTAGTCTCTGCAACACCTGGCAATGGTGTGTTCTTATTGGCTTTTTGTCCAGTATTTTTATGGCTCTGTTGTAGAGCATTCTTACTGGTTTGATGGAAGAGGCTGTGGCCTGGGACCAGCAGGTGATACAGTAACTTATCTGAGAAAAAATCATGGCGTGTAGAAAGATATTGGCTGCGTTGAAAGGTAAACAATCTCTGATTAATCTGAAACTATACAAACTTGATTTAGTCCTTTTTACAATCTTGTTAATGTGACTGTCAAATTGCAAGTGAGAGTCCAGAATTAGGCCTAAATATTTGAATTCTCTCACTTGCTCAATGTGTTGCCTGTCAATTGTTAGGGGTAGGTTCTCAGTGGGACGTGTTCTAGATGAAAAACAGACAGATTTTGTTTTACTGACATTTAAAGTAAGACCAAAATTTTGAAACCATTCTGCTACAGCCTCTAGATTGTGCTGTAGCTGTGCAGTAATGGTTTCAATTGTTTTGCCACTCACATATACAACTGCATCGTCTGCATACAGTTGGATACCTGCTCCTGGGCATGCGTTTGGTAAGTCATTAATGTAAAGTGTAAAGAGAAGTGGGCCCAATATTGATCCCTGCGGGACTCCTGATGTTAATGTTAAAAAGGATGACTTTTTGTTATTGATTATTACACACTGTTGTCTCTGTTCCAGATATGTCTTGAACCACTGCAGTGCTGGTTCTTCAAAGTTTAGTCCAGATAGTTTGAGCAGAAGGAGATCATGGTCTAGAACGTCAAATGCCTTTTTTAAGTCCAAAAATACTGCTCCAACCATCAAGCCTTTGTCAATGGCTGACTTAAGTTGTTCAATAAAATAACAATTGGCAGTTTCAGTTGATTACTGTGGCCGAAACCCAAATTGCAGAGGGTGCAGTATGTTGTTGAGGTGTAAAAATGACATTAGCTGGTTTGCTACGGTCTTCTCTAGCACCTTAGAGAAGACCGGCAGAATACTTTCTGCCGGTCTGATTTGGGCTTGTGTTTACAGAATACAACATAATTCTGGAGATTCTGAGCTGCTTTAAATTAAGATATAACATAATTATATATAGTTTGTGGCAGAGCCAGTGACGGGTAACATCTAATGATAGAATATAGCAGTAAATGAAATCTCAGCCAATGTCCTGTCAGACTAAAAACGATATGTTCAAACAACCTGCATATTCGTCAATCCCTGGTCTGATGTCTGATGCTTTCTGTCTGCAGGCCAGCCGACCGTGCCTCAGTGCTGCTACGGCTTCTGCATCGACCTGCTCATAAAGCTGGCCATGAGCATGAACTTCACCTATGAGGTTCACCTGGTGGCCGATGGAAAGTTTGGGACACAGGAGCGAGTAAGTGCTACTCAACACCTATTGGAGACGCATTCCCTTTAAACTACAAATTCTAAAATCTATGTATCGTTAAGCTTCTGAATTCTCTGAGAGAAGAGTTACATTTTGCATCTTTGATAATTGAAAATAAATTGCAGACCTAACCACATGTAACCATATGTTACTGCTGTGACACCTCTTGGGCTCATCTGCTCTGTTCATGATTCACCACTTTACCCCTCCCCTCAATTTTCCTCACCCTGCCTCCTGTTTCCCCGACGACCGACTCCCGCTTGTTTCCATGCCAACGGCTCCATCCCTCTTTCTGATTCTTTCTCTGTCTGACCTTGGACATGCACAAACCGGGAGGAAAGCTCTGCTTTAAGCCCTTTACCACAGAGAGGCAAAGGCATCTTATACTAGTTACAAGAGCTTTTAACTAGCTGGTTAAAAAACTGCATTTGGGAATTTCAACAGGACTAAACCGGGTCTAAATGTTGACACAACTAAACCAGGGTTTAAGCCAAACATTGCATTTTTCTAAAAATCTATGACGCCCCTGAATCATTATTTGGAGACTTTCAACCTTAATATTGTTGTAAAATAACTCAACTGACTTCCACAGTGAAAATTAAAGCTCAACACACACAAAACCAAAGCGCAACAGCAAAGTGGCTTTTTAAATGGCTGTAGAATAACTCATGTTGTGTTCAAAAGATAGCTTTTTACTGTGATATGACTAGTTACAACATGAGACTATGGGAGAAGAAAGTCACTGGTTAAAAGTTGATTAAAGCGAGTTTAGCGATAGTTATCAATAGACAGCACAGTGAGACTGCGTCTTCATCCAACACAAAAGTTTTGCAAAAGCTTTTCTTTTCAATTCAATTAAAATCATTTAATATTTGTCAGCCCTAAATCACAACAGTAGTTATCTCAGAGGACTTTAATAAGCTGTCAATTCAGCAACACAGATCAGAGAATCAAATGGTTCAACTTCACACACAGGAAATGCAAAAACACATTGAGCCTTTGGTCCATAAAGGGCAGATGACCGATATCCATAAATGTTGTTGAATTTCGAGGGTCCTGGATTATTAACACTGTCCTTAGACACTCCTGCATCAGCAAGGAAAAGCTCAGCGGGGAAAGGATCCAGGCAGCTGCCTGGGGCTATTTGTCTTATTGAAATCATAGGTACATTAACTAATACAGTATTGGACTCTATGACGGATTGTCGCTTTCAAATGACTTTAAGAGTTGCAGTCGATGTGATTTGTCAAATACCAGTTTTGATACGATGGTGATTATTTTTGCAGTGGCAGCTCGCATCAGAGTTCAGTGAGCAGCATGTCACAGTGGCAGCAACACATTGTTTTCATCTGTGACCAAAATTCCTGGTGCAGCCAATACAGCTGTATCACCACAATTAAGGCGGAGGTGATAGTGAAGTGGCATCTCCTGTTGATTTTCCATAACACATATTTTTTATACAGAATGAATAAAGGTTTTCATGTGTCAAAACATGAAAAGTAAAGGTTTGAGTTCCTATTTAAGGGATTTAGTAAAAGGTCCGGTTCAAGTCCTGGTTTAAGGTTATGTCTAAAGCAGAACCAACCCAAGTGCACTTTGTATCACTTCAGACATTGTTAAAGCATTATGTTTCATTTTTCATTGCAACCAATTCAATTATTCACTGCATTTAATCAAAATTTAACCAACTCACAAAGTCGGTTCACTTCCCAATAAATAAATATGTGAGTATATAAATACACATAAACACACACACACACACACACACACACACACACACACACACACACACACACACACACACACACACACACACACGCACACACTTATGAGCCCTGTCTGCTCCCAGGCCTTGTACTCTGAGTTTGAATCATTCCCACACAGCTCACACCTGATCCCCTCCCCTTGTGAATACAACTGAATGTTTTAAACCACAAATGTCCTACATCTGAGTGCAGACTGGAGATGATCTGAAAAAAATCTAATATCCAGTCTGGTTTAAGATTACTTGAATGCAGAAAAAAATATTTATTCACCCCTCTTTAATAATCCAACACCTTGACTTGGTTTTCATCTATCACTGAAGCTCATGGTCTAGTATGAATAAACAACATTCTCACTGTTTAAAGTCGGGGTACCTAACTTTTAAACCACAGAAAATGGAAAGATTAAATGTTTTTGAATAAGAACAAGACGCCATGTTTTGTTTATGCAAAGATAAGTGAGGTACCACAGCTTTAAAGGGGCACTGCGTAACTTTTCTTTCCCGCTTGTCTTCATGGAAATGTTCTTGCTCTGTGTTGGATGTCTTCATTATGTACTTAAACAAGCTCCAGGTCAGGTCCATGTGTTTAATGTGTTTATGTGCGTTTGTGCGTAGGTGAATAACAGTAATAAGAAGGAGTGGAACGGCATGATGGGAGAGCTGCTCGGGGGGCTGGCAGACATGATTGTGGCTCCTTTAACCATCAACAACGAGAGAGCGCAGTACATAGAGTTTTCTAAGCCTTTCAAGTACCAGGGACTCACCATCCTCGTCAAGAAGGTAAAAACCATATTATCACGAAATACTTGAAATAGTATTGAGTGATTGTACAGATGTGTCGACCTGTGTGTGAACACGTTTTTGTTGTCATGGTGTGGATTTTGTGTTTTTCCCTGTGTTTTTTAGTTTTTTACTTCCTGTCCTGTTCCCCTGTTGATAGTCTGCTCCGCCCTGATGTGTTTCACCCGTGTCTTCCTGTGTCTATATGTACCCTGTGCTCCTCTCCCCTTGTTGCTGGTCCGTTTTCAATGTCTGTCTTGGTTCTTTTGGATTTTGGAGTTTTGTTTTTTCCTGGACTTATGTTTATTATAATATCGTTATTATTTTGCATTCTTGCATTATGGGTCCTTCCTTCACCACCACATGACATTTTTACTATGCAATGTCTTCTGTGTATCTTATGTTTTCTTGTGTGTACATATGTGGTGCTACTAACCTCCTCACTTCTTTTATTGGCACACTAACCCTCATTAGACAAACAAATACATGAAACTGAAACAGGAAACTGAAACTCAAATAATTCCTTCAATTGTGGTGTTGCTGAACAAAGTGGTTTCAACATCATTACGCGTTTTAGTGACGGATGTTCTGTGTGTTTTGTTTGCAGGAAATCCCCCGCAGTACGCTGGACTCATTCATGCAGCCGTTCCAGAGCACACTGTGGCTCTTAGTGGGGCTATCGGTTCACGTGGTGGCAGTGATGCTTTACCTACTAGACCGATTCAGGTGTGTACGCCTGTTGAAGTCATCCTTCAGAATCAATTTGAAACACAAAACCTGAAAGTTGGTGGCTTGTAAAATGGACAGAGTAGTATAGGCAATCAATGATGCAAGGAATATCAGACTAGGAACTTATTTGAAGGAAGTCTTTACTGCGTGGACCAACCAAGTTTGGACAGCATCTGTGTAATACAAGTTAATGAGTTTATATACCGTCTGTTTGTGTCTTATCGTCATGTCCAATAAGAAACACAGGACATAGACTGCTTTACCAATGGAAACATCTCAGCATTTCCTGTGGTCAGAAGGTCTATCTCTTCTTGCATTCTTTCATTTTATTGACACTGGTAGTACACTGTGTAAGAGGCCAGTTGGTGTAGACCTCACAAAATCATGCTTTTCATCAACACTAGGTCTCTCAAGAGATCCTGAGAGGAAATGTGAACAAACTGATCAAAAATAGCGGTTGTTGGTGTCCATCATATTTGTGGCAGTTTGACATGAGTGCACAAAGTGAACGCTTCCATATTGATTTTGTGTTTATTCAGCCCGTTTGGAAGGTTTAAAGTGAACAGCGAGGAAGAAGAAGAGGACGCTCTGACGCTGTCCTCAGCCATGTGGTTTTCCTGGGGAGTACTTCTGAACTCCGGTATTGGAGAAGGTCAGTGAGTGTTTTCAGAAAACACCCAAAGTTACACCAAGGGTTTTTAGCATCTTCAGCACCTCTTCAGCAATGTACCGCTATTACACTATTATGTCAAAATGTGCCAAGAACGTTGTCCCGATTAATGTTTTCTTCCATGGATCACTCCTGAAGGGATAACTATGTTTTAATGATGACTATGAGTTGCTCTTTATGATGTTCAGTGAGAAGATCCAGAACGTTGAGATGTTAATGTTTTGTCTGGAATATTTGACCAACAGACAGATAGTTGGCGGCCTCCATGAAAACAATTTTACTTTTGGTGTTTTAGGAGCGCCGCGAAGTTTCTCGGCGCGTATCCTGGGAATGGTGTGGGCAGGCTTCGCTATGATTATCGTAGCCTCATACACTGCTAACCTCGCTGCCTTCCTGGTGCTGGACCGGCCTGAGGAGCGCATCACTGGCATCAACGACCCCAGGGTGAGACCTTAACACTTATTGGTCTGTAAGTAGGAGCTGTAATGCCTATTTCAAAGTGCACAAAAGGAGGTACAACCTCCAGTGATGGTTTTGACCAAGAGAATCTCATGATTGGTGAATGGGGCTCTCTGCAGCGACCGCTGTTCCTGACACAAGTCCCCAGTGAGTATGTTTACAAAGCTGTAGTGAAACCGGATCACTCATATTGTCCAATTTGGAATTTCCAAATTTGATTAAGCATGAAGCATGTGCTGTGATTGAGGTGTGAAAATCTAGTTCCAAACAACTAGTATACGCATTTCTAATGTTGTCACCATTAGAGTAGAAAGTTGAAAGTAAAGATATTTGGGCTTGAAAGTAAATGAAAAACGTTGTCAGTCAAATGAAGAGTCAAATGAAGTACTCATACTAGAAAAATGTACTTACTGTTACTTGCCACCTTTGACAAATGAGCAGAGAAAACTATCATAACAAGTTTCAAAGTGTCTGTCTTTGTGAATGTCCTTCAGCTGAGAAACCCCTCGGACAAATTCATCTACGCCACAGTGAAGCAGAGCTCAGTGGACATTTACTTCAGACGCCAAGTGGAGCTGAGCACAATGTACCGACATATGGAGAAGCACAACTACGAGAGCGCCGCAGAGGCCATACAGGCTGTGCGCGACAAGTACGACGACAAAACCATCTACTGGCTGTTCTTTTATAGTTCCACTTTGTTTGACATGTTTGTAAATGCATGTTGGCAGTAAGCTCCACGCGTTCATCTGGGACAGTGCGGTGCTGGAGTTTGAGGCGTCGCAGAAATGCGATCTGGTGACCACCGGGGAGCTGTTCTTCAGATCTGGATTTGGCATTGGGATGAGGAAGGACAGTCCTTGGAAGCAGAACGTATCTCTGGCCATTCTCAGGTAGAACAGAGCAGATTCTACATATTTGGGCAAAATTAACTTGTTTACACCGCTACACACTCTACACTCTACACACACACACACACACACACTTTTACCACAAACCCACCCCATTTATCACAGAAAAGAGCAGTTGAGATTGATATTACCTGATAAAGTATTATCTCTGAGCATTTCTGAACATTTGAGTTTGCTTACTGTACATGCATTACCTGATAACTCACTGAAATCACCTTTATACCCTGCAGGAAAAGGTAAATCATGTGAATCATGTAGATCTGCAATAAAAAAAATGAAATGTTTAGTTAACCTCTAGGTTTAAAGTAAAACAATATTGCTTTTTATTGTCCTCATAGAAGTCACAGTAAGTAAATAATTTAGGTTCTGAAATGCAGAATAATGTGGAAAAGTTCATTTAAAAATTAAATTCCAACAAACTGTGTGTTTGCAGGAAACTCACTGCAACACTTTTTATGGAGGTTAATATTTTTAGGCCAACATTTTGAAACGTGCAACAAAGTTAATACAATTTTCAACCCAGCAGACTTATGTCAAAGCGTAGCAATTAGACTGTCAATTAGCTCTGGCTCGCAGAGCTCCGAGTTTCCTGTTTACAAGACACACACGAAAGCCAGTCCCGCCCACAACAGATGGGAGGGGGCCACCGGTGCAGGAGGCGCATAGGGATGCAAACAGACTGCAGGATGTAGAAAGTGCACACATACAGACCGATACATATGCAAGAGGTGAAAGGGGGCAAGAGTGATCGCCATTGTCTGTAGGTGTCGGGGGGGACCCGGCTCCTTCCTGGAGCAGGGACATATGGATAGAAGCAGGCATACAGATGCAAGATACGAAAGACACAAGGGTGTGACAGACAGCAGGGGCCCTCACAAAGCTCAGCATGGCGTCAGAAGGTCGTCTCTGCATTGATAAAAGGCCTTTGACGTCCGTGTATTTGCTGCGGCTGGTTTTATGTAATTACTCCAAAAACTGTCACCACAACCGCATGTGTGTGTGTGCCCCTAGTTCCCATGAGAACGGTTTCATGGAGGACCTGGATAAGACCTGGGTCCGATATCAGGAGTGTGACTCACGAAGCAACGCCCCTGCTACGCTCACCTTCGAGAACATGGCAGGTCAGTGTCTGTGGAGCGCTGTAAGTAAGTAAGTAATGTTTATTTATATACCGCCTTTTCACTGCAGATCTGAGTCTCAAAGCGGTTTACAATTGTTAATTTTGGGCATTTGTCTCTCGCTCCACACAGAGATGGGAGTGGGGCCAGTACAGGAGGCACATGCCAGAACTATTGGACATATTTTTAGTGGTAGGGGAAACCGGAGTACCCGGAGGAAACCTACGCAGACACAGGGAGAACATGCAAACTCCACTCAGAAAGGCCCTGGTCCGACCGGGATTCGAACCCAGGACCTTCTTGCTGAGAGGCGAGAGTGCTATCCACTCAGCCACCGTGCCGCCGTACGCTGTGCAAAAGTCCATCCATCCATCCATTTTCTACCCTTTAATCCATTTCTGGGTCAGGGGGGTGGCAGTCAGAGATGCCACCCAAGTCTCATAGCACCAGCCCCTCACTGATCCTCTGCAGGTGGTGAGTCCACAGGAGGACGGCTGCTCTCTGAGTGTGAGCATAGCCTTGATCTTTCAGTGGGGGCTTTGGGCAAAGTGGGGTTAAGTGTCTTGCCCAAGGACACAACGACAGCAGTCATCAGTGGGAGTCGGTGGAGAAGGTGCAGAGGTGGGAATTGAACCCACGACCTTCTGGGCTTAAGGCCAATGCTCTACCAACTGAGCTACTGTCGCCCCCTGTGCAAAAGTATTAAAGGGAATTCAATTATGAACACTTTTGGTTTAAAGATTCTCTTCTGTCCTGGCATCTACCATAGCTCCTTCTGATGGCACATGTAATCTTCTATCTTCAATCCTTTACTCCTGGTTCTAGAGCTGGTTCCTTCCTGGTTTAATCCTTGTTCAGTCCTGGTTTTGTCCTGGTTTAGTCCTGATTCAGTCCTGGTTTAGACATGTATTTCCTTTCTCAGGGGTCTTCATGCTGGTGGCTGGTGGTTAGAACTGGTTTACTCCTGGTTTAGTCCTGTTTCAGTCCTGGTTCTTTCCTGATTTGGTGCTGGTTCAGACCTGTGTCTTCTCTCTCAGGGGTCTTCATGCTGGTGGCTGGAGGGATCGTGGCCGGGATCTTCCTAATCTTCATTGAAATTGCGTACAAACGTCACAAAGACGCTCGAAGGAAACAGATGCAGCTTGCCTTTGCTGCTGTCAACGTGTGGAGGAAGAACCTACAGGTGACAGGCTTTTGCGTCTTTTATATATACTGTACTCCAATATTTAGAACTGTCTAATGCACCTTGTTACTGTTTCTGTTTTTTTTGGGTTTATGGACATTTCAAAACCAGGCTCCAACTTCTATCACAAAAGCTTCAGTCGTACCTATAACAAGGAATCATTCTTTCCACTGATTATTCATTTTGACTTCAAAGTGGGGTCCACTTTAATGGGTTTTGGAAATATTAAATATATACAGAGTAAATACAAATATCCATATATTCATTCTTCTCCTTATGTTTCTCTTTTTGCATTTTATTTCAGTTTGACTGGCAAGGTTAGTAGCAAAGTCTGAGAAAGGGAGTTCTCTTTCTGTGAGTTGATAGTAAGAAATACTTGAAACCAGTTAAAAACTTGCTACTAAAAGGACTTAAAAATATTGTTGTCTGGCTTTGTCTGCTTTAGTAAAACATTGGCATTTTATGAAATAGTCATAAGTCATTCATCGAGCTACTAAGACAAGCAACTAATCTGGCCCGAGTTCGACAGTGCCTGAGTTGAGGTTTGCATGTTCTCCCTGGCTGTTTATTAATACACACTGTCAATTACAAGTAAAAAACATAAAACGTATCCATATAGAACGATTGGTTGTATGATTGTGTTTGGAGCCTGGTTTATTCATGCTGGTTATGTCCCTGTCTGTCATGATCTGAGAAGGATTGTTTAATGGTTTGCGGTGCACAATCCCAGTGGAGGTAAACAGTTTATTTGTGCGTTCTGTGACTACAGCTGTTGTGAATGTTTGATAAGCTGAAACAGAGAACGATGAGACCTACAGTTCGTCTGCAGAGGCCCGATGTCTTGCTAAAACATGAGGCATTATGAATTAAACAGGTGCTGAGACGATGCTAGTTCCCTCCTTAATCCATCTGACCTGGTTGAGTCTGGCTAGGGTTTGTCTGTTGTAAATCCACACATTATTTAAACACAGGCCGTATATTTAATTCATTAACATTGCATTAACTCAGCCTGAACTCTGGACCAAATCTCCTCTCTCTCTCGCTCTCTCTCTCAGAATCAGAAGTTTGCTGCAAAAATCCATTTGCATGCAATCAATCTTTTGGAGAATCGAATTGGTGGTTGGGGCACCATCTTTCTAACTGCAAAACAGGTTTAATCACTAGGGGGAATAAGCATGTAGTGTATGTCACATCTTTTTATCAGCTTTTTCATAATGAGCACAAGACTTTCTTACCCCTAATAAAGAAGTATGCAAAAGATAAAAAGGTTTTCTCATATCTGATAATATGCAGACAGCATGTTGTGGTCTGGTCTATTCACAATATTTTGATTTTAAAATCAAATCAAATCAAATCAATTTTATTTGTATCGTCCAAAATCACAACAGTTGTCTCAAGGGGCGTCACAGAACCGCCAACTCCCAACGGGAGTGTTTTATGCAAATATATTTGATATAGTCCCTCCTCTTTCCTTAGCCAGCACAATTCACAAGGCTTGAAGTTAGTCATGAGTGAATCAGAAGATGTGTCTGTGTTCAGTAACAAGGGGCCCAGTGCATTAAAATGCCCTTTCTTGCTCTAATATAAACTTGTTCTGCTGGGGTATGGGACACAGGGCGCAAGATAAAATAAGGGACCCTGATTTTGGATCACCGCACACTGTTGTGCCCTGTGCAGTTCAAAACGGTTTTACTCATATAGTTGGTTCAGCCAGAGGCGAGAGACCAAGGATGATCTAGTTAAAGCAGGACAATCTAATTAGTATCATGCCAGCCCAAGGCCTGCACAGTGACTCCTGGTGGAGTGTTGGTGTCAGTGCAGACTTAGAGAAAGTGAGACCTCTGTGTGAATAAGTCATGTGTGAGGCAGTGCTTCATATTATAAACATGAGCAGAATCTGGCTCTATGCCGTCTGTGTAAAAGTTTAATCCAGCTGCAGGGAAAACTGACAGGGACACCTTCGCTGACCCCAGATCAGCCTTACCGCAGTCACCTCGGTGGTCAGGCTGCAACTGTATACCACCCATAGACTATATATATTAACGGACGTAGTCACGCCTATTTCCGCCGTTCTAACAAATAGGCCAAAAAATGGGCTCTCATGGAGTGATTCAAAATGGCCGCGGGGGCATCTGCGCATGCGTCAGCCGGCACGAGCCCCCTTAATTTAAATACAAAAAATTCACAGCGAGTAAACTAGTGGTCCAAAAAAATTCACTCCCCTAAGCATTGACACACATGTGCAACAGAGCTTCCAACCAAAAACCAAAAGCCAACTTTTGGACCATCCTGTAAAGGTGTTTTTGAGAGGTAAGAAGATGCTAATGTCAGCATTGGCTAATTCTTATTCCGGGTCCACCCCCATCGGCCCGGGGTGGTATTGCAAGCATGTCAACGCACGTCATTTTGGCCACTTTTGAGCCGGGACCCGCACCCACTGATACCACCAGACATCAAGTAAACCCCAACAGACCAAACCACAACAAGTCGACAACTACAGCTGGTTATGGCTAAGAACTTCACATTGTAATACATAAAAAGTTCTGGGCAATGACCAGCTGTGTTTTCATGATGTGGGTACATTGACTATTTCAGTCAATTCACATCGGACTATAGGCCATTTAACCAGTTTTCTGGCATCCATGTGAATTTAAAGTACTGACCAGAGAAGATCTACTGACTTGATTATGCAAATCTGCCCTAATTCACTCTTGAATTAATGATCATCTCAACATTTGTTCATTTGTCAGGTACCACTGCGCACAAGCCCAATATGACCTGTGTTTGTATTTAATTACAGACGTTTCCCAGAGCAAACCTTCTCCAGATGAGGTGCATTTCATGGTTTGAACGTTAATGCTGTTCTATCCAGACGTGCGGCAGCTGCTCCATACGCTACATTACCATTGGGCTAGTGTGGCTCATTAGCATTTCAAACACCAGACGCTAACACTGACAGATCACGGCTAACGCTTCATTAGCATTGAGTGGGTCTGAACAGCTGTGCATCAAAGCGGACTATCGCCTCCCATGGGGGGGTCAAAGGTCCTGTAGACGAACATGGTTAACTCACTGTTCTCTGACGCTTTGTTGAAAATGGGAATTATTCAAGAAACAGGCAGAAAACACAGGGAAAGAATTCTGTGCATATACTGAATAGATTTATTCTTGAATAAAAATAGAAATGTGGACTTTGAAGGAGCACTTGGGAAGATGGTGGAAAATCTACCTTTTTATCTCCATAGAAATGAAGCCAACCAAATGCTAGCAGGTTTTATTTGTGATTAGGAGATGTAGATCTTTCCTGTATCCTTGTTGACTTGCAATGTTTTATTTTGCCTTTTCTATGTGAGTCTGAAGCACTCTTAAGCTGCTAGTGTTATTTATAAGTGCATTATAAATACATTATCATTTACACATTATAACAGATTATTCAAAACAGATGTATGTAATCCAAAAGCTTTCCTTAAGTCACTGTTGAGTGAGTAGACACTAATACTAACTAACTCAACTACGCAGTGTACTTTTCTAATCTTGTGTCCGTCTGAGAGCCATTTAGTGACCGCCAAACATGGTCTGTTTAATGACATTTTGTAGAAGAGTCCAAGAAAAACAATGAGATCTTTCTACCAGTGCTCCTTTAAAGGCCTAAATATTGGTTAAATATAAAGTGTATGTTTTTGTTATTTTTGATGGATCACGAATGAAATCTAAGTCTTTTATTCATTTGGTACAGCAGATTCATTAGACAACATATACTGTATTCATAGTATGTGTTTGTAAAATGTTTTATTGGCACTGTTAACCCTTTATGTGAACTGTAAATGTCTGAACGATAGTCAAATAATGTCAGGACCAAATAGTATGGAAAGATAATGAATGCATGGTTTAACAATGTTTTGCTTATGTGCTGGTTTTTACAGTGGTAAAAATCCAAGTCTGCCATGTAACATTGTACTGTATCCAAATGTGTAAATAGTGGTCAGAGCTGGAATTATTCAGACAACTCCTGCATCAGTGTCTGCACGTGGCCAGAGGAAACTGTACAGACTTCACTTCAAACTTAAAAGAGCTGCTGTGTCTGTATTGGTGCTTATACATGATCTTGAGAATCTCCACTTTGAATTTAATGTTAAGAAGTCAAAACAAACATTATACATAATTAGTCTATAAAGTATATTATATAATTATATTTAATCTAATTATAAAAGTTATTATAACTATATAATTGTTGAAGTCATTCAGTTGGATATGTTAACATGTAGTACTAAATAATGATGCAGACATTGTTAGAACAAGTCTAGAGTGGATTTAAAAAGAAAAAACCTCCGAAGCCTAAAGCCGCGTTCAGACCGGATCATGCCACGCAAAGTCAATGGTGACGCGCGTTCGAGCGTCAAACGCCTGGACCTCTTGGCACACACGCACGGACCGCGCAGTAGAGACGCACGGACTGCGCGTGAAAGTCAAAGGGGAGGAGCAGGAGTGGAAAACGACGCCCACAGGAAATGATCTTTGCTCAACCTTTCCTCGGGACGTTCGTGCAGCGACCAATCAGAGAGCTGCAAAGTGGTCACACGGACATTGGTGGTCTGAGCGAGCAGACTGAACAAACTGTAAACAGCCAAAACAGGAGCTACATCAGGACTAAACCAGGACTAAACCAGGGTTGACAATGGGGGACTGTGTGCTTGTGACTATATGCGTTGTCATGCTCCTGTGACTTTATGCAACTGCTTCGAGTGTGTTTGCTGATGCGGAAGTACCGTTTAATAATAAAATAAACTTATTGCCCACCTCCGTGAACACATACTACTGTTATATAAAGTCCGTGTAAGGTCTCTGAACACAGAGACCCAAGATCTTTACACGAGAAGCCGCTAGCATAACTCTGTTAGCATCAGAGCCGGCCGGCTACTCCACAACTTAGACTGACACTCTGTCAAAGAGGCGGGGCTTAGGAGCAAAGGGGACTGAATGAGGAAATGCACGACTCATCG